GGTAGAAAAAAGAAGAGAATCGATGCTCGAGACTGGAGTAGATACGTGTACATAAAGACGTTTTAACTGGATAAGATGAATGCGAAGCAGAACACAAGAAGTAAGGTGGAAATTTAGCAGTAACACATTATTGTCATTTAAAGTGCGCGTCGTGCTCGTTCGCGCTCCTCATAATGTTGCTTCCTTGTCTCTGTCGTGATTAATATTTAACACGTGCCCAATCTTTGTTTCTTCCAGGGAATCATGCACGGAGGCTGATTCTTCCGATTGACTCTTCGGAAGGACACTCGTATAACTGTAACTCAAAGCTCGCGCTTTCTCTAATTCTCATCGCTTTGTAACAATAGTCTCTGGGCCCGTTGCCTGAGACATTGCCGCGTCCGGTCGAAAACTCATCTCTACATTTTTATTGTGTTTTTTTTCGTCCTTCCTAATTTCCTCCTCGAGCAATCGTCGAAACGAAGGAACGAATGAGTAACAAAAAATGTTTTGCATCGATTTATCTCCTCGTCGCGCAATAATCATTAAAACGCTTCTGCGCCCGGGAATCCTCGTTCTTTTCAACTTATAACACACGCGTATCTATAATTAACCTCTCCTCCGCTCCATCTTTTGCCGTCGTTTAGCCCCCGTCTCGCTCTCCCCCTCGCGCGCTGTGCACAAAGTGCAACGCTTTGCAAATGATTATCGCACAGTGAGAAGTAGGAGGAGTGCTCGCGCGCGCTCGCGTACGCAAACCGGGCGGGCAGGCAAAAGACAATAGCATTATACATTTTACGGAAGACACAGGTATACACACACTCGCGCATACAACCGCTTTCCGCATCAATTAGGCGCCGCACATATATACATATAAATATACTCGCGAACTCCGATAGATAGATCGGCAGGAAGAAGCGCCGCCGACGCCGCCGCCGCCGCCTGCACCGCCATCGCGCGAGCGCAACGAGGCCTTAATACATCGGAGCGAGAGCGCCTTTTTGCAGCGGCGCAGTCGCGCGATAACGATCGTTTTCTTTTTCCTTCTCTCTCTCGCAGTCGATCGTCGCTTATACGCTCCGTTTACGCTTTCTCGACGCCAGCCAAGCCAGCTATTTTGCCACTTATTATTGTATACGCCCGAACAAATCTTCCCGGCCTTTTATAATTCTCGGCTCTCTATACCTGGCGGTTCCACGGGCGCGCGCGCGCGCGCGTTCGCGACCGGGACCCATGCGCGGATAACTAGCCATTATAAGCACACGCGTATCAGAAAATTTTCTCTCTAAATAATACCATACCTCTTTGCCTTTGCAATTGTGCGACTGTGTACGTGCGTGTGTGCGTGCGATTGTGTTTGCGATTTTTTTTTGTACAAAGATAGAGAAACCGAACATAAAAAAAAGGCTATATTATATACTGTAAATGTTTTATAAACGTATTTATTATGTATGAAGCTGGTGCGAGATATGTATGCACCTCGATACGACATCTGCTTCGAGTCTGCCGATCGTTTTAACTCTCTTTTTTGTTGTTTTTTGCGAGCTCGTATAACGTCGGACGTGTACACAGACACACCGTTAAACACAAGTCTCCGTTGCGGCTAATAGTAAATTGTTAATTGTTAATTGCTATTGTTTTCCTGTGCGGCTTAACTAGTCGCAAAGTAACGTTTTAAATAATCCCTTAATTTTTCGAGACGTTATCGAGCCTGGAGAGTGGAAAAAAAATTATAAAAGATAGTCTCGTCCTTCGTTTGCAACATAAACATATATTACGTTTCAATTCGCGAGATTGCGCTTGCATACTCTTGCGAAGCCGCTACAGCAAAAAATTCTGTATTTTTACTCGCCCTTGCGTGAAAATCATTTCCTGGGTTAATCTCCTCGCCGAAATCGGTAAGAAAAATCATGTTTTATATTTGTGTGTACACGTGGCATATGCGCGTCCGATTTTTTTTTGTACCGCTCACGCAGCCGTTTGTTGCATCGCCGTGAAATTGCATATGTAGGTAGCTGCAGCAGCCTATGTGCCGCGCGTATTCGTGAATTATCGAGTCCAGGCCGCGGCGCGCGCCAATCATTAAGTCACTTTTATGTTATATATATATATATATTGTATGTATACACGGAGCGGACAGTCGTGCACAAAAAAAGAGTCTATACATAAAGTGCGCAGCTTGTGGCCTTGTTTGTTAACGCGCGAAATCGGCCCAGATTTCGTCTTTCTTTCTCTCTTTCTCTCCTTCGGACTTTACTCCATCTCCGTCTGCCTGGTAAATTCTCCTCCTGTGTATAAATACGGTATATATGCACCTGTTCCTTCTCTCTCTCTCTCTCTCTCTCTCTTTGGGCTCTCTGTATATAGTTACGCATCGGCTTTGATCCTGGAGTACTGATAATTTTCGCATTACCAAACGAATGTATATATGTATATAGACGCACCCGCTACCATAAGTACGTAGTGCGTGTGCGCGTCTTTTTTTCGCAAGAGAATACGGAGAGATCCTTGCACGGGTTATTACGTGCGTTGCGCGCATATATCGTATACTTATATAGAGAGAGACTAGGAAATTATAAAAACGCTCCGGGCTTTTTCTCTCTCAGTCTGATGGATGCACGCGACGTCTCGATCATCTTTCTCTATTCCATCCCACTTCTCTCTTTATACATATAAGCGATCCTCGTATGTGAATTACATGTGTGTATTAATATAAGCCAGATCAGATATAAGCTCCGTTGGCATGATTTATTGGCCCTTTATGCTGCTGCTGCTGCTGCTGCTGCTGCTGCTGCTGCACGTGTGAAGGATAATTTTTGAACTTGCGAGTCTTTCCGACCATGCAGAGGAGAATTTTTACTACATATTGTGTGTCTACTTTGGTGGAAAATCTGTTTTTTTATCACCATTAATCCACTCGAGTGGCACTTAATGCGATCGGTAAGCAGCAGCATTTCTTTAATACAATTGAACTTTATAATTCATTTATGATTATGAATAGATAAAAAGTTGGGTGGGCAAAACATCGACGACTTGAAGTATAGTAGCAGCATACTGATACTATAACTACTCATCAATTCTGCATCTGCGTCTGGAGTACTCGCGTTCAAACGAGCTAAACTACCTAGTAGAATTTGTCTTGTTTGCCTATATAATACATGATATTTACCCGCAGTCGATTTTGCATTGTTTTATGCTCACCCGTTTAGATGCTTAAAATGCATACGCATTACGGCTCGTCGAACGATCGTATTATTTGGCGGCCTGGCCACAAAATTCGCGCAAAAAAGGAAAGGAACGTCGGCAGGCATTATACGAGCGAATCGAGCGAATGATGAACGAGACCGATAATTCACGGTAGCTTTTTTTTATATAAGGGAATCGGAAGCGGGAGAAAGAGAGAACGTGTGGCACGCGCGCATCTACTTATACCTAATGAGAGCTGCTGCTGCTGCGGCCCACGCCGCCTGCCCGCAGCTTTATCGGACGTATAAATCGGTTATCGATCGTCGATTGTTCCTCTCTCTTCTTTGCGCTCGGGCGAAAAAAAGTAGAATATGTATGCGCGGAGGGTGGAAGCGCGGAGAGAAACAAAAAGTCAAGGAATAAGTGGAAGGAGAAGCGGAACGCGCGCCTTAAAACACCGAGAGTCACGTGACTGTGTATGTGTGCAAGTGCAGATGCGACGTGTCTTGAAGAAAGTGATCTATAGGCGAGCGGCTAGACCCTTTCTTATACGCGTTGTATAAGCATCCGTCAAGTTTACCCGTTCTCGAGCTCAGGCGCACGCCTTTTTTATTTCACGACGTATATAACATGTATAGGCGGCTCGCGTCCGTCGTTGTGCAGTTGCATCGGCAGCAGCACTGCACGCGCCGCTCGCTTATGTATAGGTATACCTATATATCCCGTTTATATCGGAGTTATAGGCTGCTGCTCCGCCGACGCGTCAAGATGCGCGCACACATACACACCTTCCGCCGAAAGTCTTTGCTAGCCCCGAGCGTAATATTGTATGTGTATTATTATCGGTTCTGCTGCTGCTGCCGCCGATCCATATAAGCGATACATATCGCGCGGCCCACGTATAAAGTGGATATTTTATAGCTTTCCCATTTGGTTTGGGTGGCCGATGGGTCGGTGCGCGATTCACCTGCAGCGCGCGAGGCCAATCTTCCCCGACACTGCAGGACTATTTACGATTTTGAAGCCCTCGTTGATAATCGTTTGCCTTCGGATGATGAGGCATTGCGGATTGGCGTCGCGCGAGATGCCTCGCTGCACGACACGTTTTCAATTGAAATTGTAACTACAGTTATATAGCTCCTATAAATTATTACGTATATTAAAATATAAAATTATAATAGGAACTAGCGTCAAGCAATCCAGACACTCGACATTCATACAGATACGTGTGAGTTTCCGCGCGACGAAGAATCTAAATCGCTTCCGTCGCGACGGCGAAAAAAGAAAAGACGATCGGCGAGTCGCGACGGCGGCCCATTAATATTTTATGCGCGGGAAAAGTGCGCCGAGACAGTCGGCGGAGCCCAGCGGTCATCAGCAGCGCTCGACCGAGACGCTTGTTGCAGACTGTGAACTGTTCGCTGCAATTGGCACGCGCGAGTGATGCTTATAGTGAGAGGCGACACAAAAAGAAGACAGGATCGATCGCACGAAGATGTTTGCATTGTCACGGTTGATTTTTGGCGAATCGTCGCAGATAATGAAGTTGACGGAGACGACGACAACGACGCATGGTAAAGATAAAAGAAATTGTGTTGGCACTGCTCGCGACGATTGTGCGTCTCTATTATCGTGTTACACGGCTAAGATCTTGGCGAGGGCGAGATCGAGCAAGCGTGACGTGTAACCTATTGTTTCGGATAACTTTGTCGATTTTATCGTGCTTCTACAGGTGGATGGCCACGGTGCCGGGGCATCGATGCTCGTCGCAGTTTTTTCGGCAAGAAGAAGGTGGAGAAAGAGCCTCTCAGCCCGTTTCAAGACACCGACGGATTGGCCGAGTTCGCCTTAGCAAGACTCGACGACCTCATCAACTGGGGACGTAAAAGTAAATAAATGCAGTGTGTGCTTGTGTGTAAAATAATAACCATTGAATATAAATTCACGCGGCCTCTTTTATCCGGGACTCCTTATGGTAGGCTCCATGTGGCCGGTGACGTTCGGCCTGGCCTGCTGCGCCGTCGAGATGATGCACATGGCAGCGCCGCGCTACGACATGGACCGCTTCGGCGTGGTGTTTCGCGCCAGCCCCAAGCAGTGCGACGTCGTCATAGTCGCCGGCACCGTCTGCAATAAGATGGCACCCGCCCTCAGGAAGACCTACGATCTCATGCCCCATCCCAAGTGGGTCATATCGATGGGCAGTTGCTCAAACGGTGGTGGATACTATCACTACAGCTACTCGGTCGTTCGGGGCTGCGACCGGATCATACCCGTGGACATATACATACCCGGTAAGACGATTGCCGTTGATTACAAATGTATTTTCTTTTTCACTTACGCTCAACACGTCTGTGGTGCTGGGTACAGGTTGTCCGCCCTCGGCTGAGGCTCTGCTCTACGGAGTTCTACAGTTGCAGAAAAAAGTCAAGCGAATGGAAACGACTCAAGTGTGGTACAGAAAATAATTTAAGTATGTTTATATGTGCTCCCGACTGTCTGTAATATCGACCATTAAGATCGATACGTTCAACCGAAGTAACAAAAAAACAGTTATGATTTATTTTTTTCTTACAATAAAAAAAAATGAGTAAAATGGTTTACTCGTAATCCAGGATGGAATTAAGCGTAAACCGTAATGCGTAGCCCAAGATATGCTCAAACGATAAGCCGAATAGCGAATTATGAAACGCGAACACATACTTACACATAGACACCTGTGCGCGGTTCACTTCAAAGGTGCCTGTGCAAGTGCACTTACATATTGCAATTGCATACTCATAACATATTTTAAAGATTTTCCATTCCCGCCAAGTGCGCCAAGTACATAGGTGCAATGTGTGTAAGTACTGCAACTCAAAAGCAATTAAGACGTTCGATAAAAAAATGCTTCTGCAGCGACCCTATACAGCTGCTGCTGCAAGATTTTGAAAAAAGAGCCTCTCCTGCCAGATTTCTCCGCATAATGACTTTTTTTCTCTTCAAACAAAAAGAAGTAAGCGAAAAATTTTGCTGAGCGTGCAAGTGAATCAATGAAGCTCGCGGAAAATGAGTAATTGATGTGCAAAGCAGCTGGACGATGCACGATTGTTAAATAAATTTCACGTGTTTCCGTGAAATGATCAATTGTAACATTTTTAAAATTAATAACTTCATCGACAATCCTTGAGGTCTTTTTATTTACGAAAATTTCTGCGGTTAAAATTTTAACCCCGCTCACTTGACTAATTGAAATTAAAGTTCATACTCGTTCTTTTCGACGCTCCTCTTTCAACTCGATAACAGTCATTTTTCAACTATTCTTACTCTATAAGCGCATGTGCTATCTTTCCTCCAGGTGCTATATAGAAGGTCCAAGAGCGTGCAGGTGATTTCGTTACCTCGGCAAGACACCACCGCACATGCACCCTTGCAGATTTCCTAAAAGAGCAACCTATCATTAGGTAATTTTGTATTTCTAGGGAAGAGATCCGTATCTCGAGCCCGAGAGTTCACACCTTGTCGTAAAAAAAAACAACGCCATATCCAAAAAGTAGGCTAACTGTAAGCGTGGCTGCGACGATGAAAAAAACGGCAAACTGCACTTTTCGTCTTTTCAGAGATCGCAAACCTGAAGATCAGAAATAAAACGTGCGGCACGATTACGCGCTAAAGTGCAATTCCTACGACGAACGGCTTGTCCTGACATCTGGCAGAGCTTGTGTCAGTTGACAATGAGCAGCAGACGACGCAAATGAGACGCACTTGCGCGAATGCTCTAAAATCCGAGGTGAGCTCGGCTGACGTCTGAAACTTGCCAAACTCGGATACGACACTTTGCCCCCGGGGAGACGTCGTCGTTTGTTTTTCACCCCCAAAATGTTGCGCTCTTTATTGTCGAATCGTAAGTTTCATCAATTGTTTTTTCTTCTGCTAGTCATTTAGCTAAAATGTCAAGATCTAGTCCCACTTACCAGTGAACTTTTCACTGACGTTGAATTTCAAAACATTGTCACCGATCGATACACGCCTAACCTCCATGCTCTAAGTTTTTTAAACGATATTTTTAATTGCAAGTGAATAATTATAATGCTCATAGATATGTATAGATATAAAATTTTGGCACAAAATTGCCCATTAACGAACTATTGCAAAGTATTGAACAATGTTTTGAAAGCGAACAACGAGTCGTGAGTGCTGGTAGCAAGTTACATAAATTACATCAATCCACTGTATATGAAATAGATAATGATAACATACTGTTTTGTTTGTGCTGTACAGACACCTTTGGGCAAATCGTGTCTCAGGTGACAAAAAACAACAATGTCGCTGTTTTGTCGGCTCAAAGTCCTCTGCTCCAGCAGTGTAAATCGATGGCAACTGTGCCACAAACAAAATCTTCTGCTGATGGACCCAGAGAACCCATGAGTCCTTTTCAAAACTCTAGCAATGCAGTAGAATATGCTCTTGCTAGATTAGATGATTTACTCAATTGGGGAAGAAGATGTAAGTAACATATGATCATCTACTCATTCTGTAAATTATGAGTTTTGTATATGTTGGATATAAAATTATTTTGATGTGTAGGTTCCATGTGGCCACTGACTTTTGGTCTTGCATGTTGTGCTGTAGAGATGATGCACATCGCTGCTCCTCGTTATGACATGGACAGGTTTGGTGTTGTATTCAGAGCATCACCTAGACACGCTGATGTAATTATAGTTGCTGGTACAGTTACAAATAAAATGGCACCCGCCTTGAGAAAAGTGTTTGACCAAATGCCTGACCCAAAATGGGTAATCTCTATGGGCAGTTGTGCCAATGGTGGTGGTTATTATCATTACAGTTATTCAGTTGTTAGGGGCTGTGACAGAATTATTCCTGTGGACATTTATGTACCAGGTAAATAAAACTATTAACGGTAAAGTTATTTTAACAGAAAGTTACATTACTTTGTTTTACAGGTTGTCCACCAACCGCTGAAGCTCTTCTATATGGAATTTTACAGCTGCAAAAGAAAGTGAAGAGAATGCAAACGACCCAAGTTTGGTACAGGAAGTAAAGCATTATTGTTTTAATTGTAAACTAAGTAGTCTTGTTATGAGAATTTTTACTCTGTAAAAAGTACGTCAGACATATATAATTAAATTATAAAAATTGAGGTAGCCCAATCATGTTTCTAGCTCCATTTCCATAATAATTCTGTTATTTTCAGAAATTTTAATAGTTTAAATAAAAAAATTGGATTAAATTATTTCATGTACTGTTTTGCTTTATTTTTTAACAAAATCTAGGCTCTGATTATACCAATAATGTTGTAAATGATATTAATCTAATTATACAAGAAATGAAGAAAATAAAATCTATAAAAAAATGAGAACTGCTCTTACTTAATTCTTCTATTCTTTGTAGTGAGAAATATTTTTTTTTCCTTTCATTAATATATTTATCATTGGGCATTATGCATATTGACTAATTATTGCATGTGAAATAACGTAAGGATTTCATGGTACGTTTATGAATTAGAAACAACAATAATAAGACGATCATGATATTATTTTCATAAAGCCCATTATATAATGGATACAAAGACTTATTTACAAATTGAAGTTTGTAGTTGAAAGTTGAATAATCATGTACATAACCAGATATATCAAGCTAAAAACGCTCATATAAAATGTACTTAAAAATTTATGTTTCGCATAACACTCTGCTCCAGCTTTTGTGTAGTTTGTAAAAGTGATATACAAAATGACTTTAGTACAGGTTTTACTTCATAATCAAATTTTTTTAACATTCTAACGTAAATTAATTGATAAACATTAATTTATCCGTCTAATATTCTAAATTTGTACATAATATAGGAGAACTATCAAGTTAAATTTTCACAAGTAAATAAAAAATTTTGTGACTGATGACCTATATAACATAGCTGCATACATCATAGTTTTATCTAAGACTTGGAAATAGATAAAAAATTTAATGGTACATTCACATTTTTCACCTATGTACAGTAATATATTTTCTATAAATTCTACGCATTCAGACTTTGTCTTTTGAGCATTAAAAAATCAGCAATATAAGTTAACAAAGATAACGAAATATTTCGTGTACTGTTATACTATTTACAACATTCATTACTAATACATTAAATGTTAATAATGTCAATTTGCGTTATTTTTGTCTAATTACAATTAATATTCTTCTAAGAAACTTAAAAATAAGATGAAAAAGTTTTTGAAATTAATTAATGACTACAAATAGACTAAAACGAATTCAAAGTTATACTATAAAATATGATATTTTTTGTTGAAAAATATACTCAATTTATTCAGCTTGTTAAATATTAATATTTTTCAGAGTAATGTACATAAAAAGAGCTGAAAGTATCAAGTATTTTAATGGTACATAAATAATTTTTCAATAATAATTTTGTACATATAAAATTCTTAGAAACATGCATTCTTTCATACAATGTGTTTAGTCTTTTAATCAGAGACTTATATTCTCATTTTAACAATAAATTCAATAATATATTAGATTTGATTGCTTATTCAATAGTTTAGGCTGTACTGAAGGCATCAAATCACTAAAATATATTCATTCGAAAAATAATTGTTAACTCTTAGTAGCTAAGTGGGCAAATAATTCTTTCATCCAATACCTTTTGATAAATTTTTCCTACGATTCCAAAAAAATTTTGAAATGATTGACTTTATAAGCAATGCATATCAAAATAAGAGCCACATACAGAAAATAATTGTTTTTAAATTAGAGTATAAACCAACCATAGAATTATTTTCTGTCAAAATGTACAATTTCAATAATTTAGCAACTTTAGATTCTACAGGATTGCCTGAGATGTAGAAGCAGGTGAATTATTTGGTATCATTGGTATTGGACCATCAGTCCACTGTAAAAGATTATGTTCACTCATCTGCGTACTTTGATAATGATCTTTTAATAGAGTTTGAGAAAATGCACAATGCATTTGATACGCCTCATTTTCACGATTTTGATCTCCACAGATTTTGTGCAAATCTAGAATATAAGCATTATTAAAGCTATGTTCAAAATTATCGTTTATTATAGAACAATAATTTTACGTACCTTTTAATATTGCAGTTGCCCACAATTGTACATGTACATCAGGTATCTTAGAAGCTAACTGCATAGCAGGTGTTACCATATTCATTGACTCACGGTGATTGCCGAGAGACAAAAATATATGACCAAGAAGAACAAGACTACACGACGTCAATCTATTTAAATCTTCTGAATTTGCCATTTTCAAAGTTTCGCGTAGATACCTCCTAAAACCACAAAATAAATAATTTCAGTATAAATTTCAATGCAGCAAAATTTTTTTTTTACTATATTGTAACGAAATGTACTTGGCTTCATTATATCGTGCACCAAAAAATGCTTGGAGTCCCTGAACATAATATGCTGCTGCTCTCAAGGAATGTGATAGCGAAGGCAAAGATTCTGGGTTTATCCTTTCCATAAGTGTACCCAATTCTGTATCTCTTCTCATTCTCAAGTATACAATAGCTAGATTTAAATTTGCAAAAGTGACTAATTCTCTCTCTTGAGATTTCTGCAAAATAAAAAATAAATACAGGTAATATATTCATTCAACATGTATAAAGTTTACTAATATTTGAATTGATCCATTACATTTAAAGCAGCAATTAGTTGTACTTCTGCTGCTTCCATGCAATTCATAGACATTGCATAAAGTCCTAATAAAACATGAAGTTGCGGCCTATGGTTTTGCATTAATCTTGGCTGAACCCTGCATACTTGACATGCTTGAGATATTTCTGACAAGGCTAAACTTTTGTTTCCCATTACAAGACGGCACATTACAATATGCTCCAATAGCATCAGTTGAAAGACAGAGAGAATTGGTTTGTTATCAATTACTACAAAATTCAATTCATTATTAAAATGTTATGTTTTTATGACTTTTGATTAAAAATCGGAAGCTTACACTTTAAATTTTCTATCTGTGCAAGAGCTTTGTCTGTATATTTCTGGGCTTTGTCCATGTAGCCTGATTGCATGGAATGCATTACAGTAACTAAATAAACAAGCACAAACAAATATTCTTTTGGCATCCAAATAAACATATCGCCTACTTGAGGACCAGTAACATTTTCATCCGATGGCCACGTTGGTGCCATAATGACTTGAATACTTTGTTGCAATTGTTTTAGACAGGGTTTGACACTTTTTACCTGTATCAATCAATATTTTGTAGAATGCAAACTTTAAAGAATAATGAATTCAAGTAAACCATAATTCCAACATACCTGACCAGACATCAAGTAATGACAAACTTGCAAAACTAAGAAGAACACTTTTAGATATTCTTTTTGATGTGGATTTCCTTGCCAATTTTCCACTTGATGACCAGCAGTATTCAACAAAGGCAACACTTCTGTGAATTTTTTATCGACAAGTAAAAGCATACATCTACTAAGAATAAATAAAGCTCTTGTGTAATTGACATTGCTTATTTGTGAATAATCGGCACCAACAGCCAATAAGCCTACGGCTGCTGTGAAATCCTTTTCCGAAGCATGAATTTGCTACAAAATAATACAAGAAATTAATAACTTTACTCATAAATAATAAGATAAATAAATGTCATATAATTACAGCCAACTGGAATATAAGTCTACAATGCCAATAAACGTTGTGTTGAGAAAGTTCCACAGCTTTACGTAGTATAGCTTGGCTCATACTAGGCTGTTGATGCTGCTGTTCGTAGACATCTGCCAAAATACTGGCAGCTTCAAATTTGACATCATCAAAACCATTTATAGTCTGACCAAGTTGCCACTAGAGTGATAACAAACAAGAAATGTCAACAAACTTATCTATGAGCTATCAAATCACTCATGTTTAGGTTAAAAGATGACAAAACTTACAGCTTTCTCCAAATGAGTCCTGGCCAAGTCGATGTTTTTCGTATGGGATAACAAAATATTACCGAGCTGTAGGTGCGTACGAGCTTCAACTCGTGATGGGGGCTTGAAGTTGAAGACCGCCTGAAGACACTGTATGCAGCATTTTATGTTCGGTGGGTTTGTCGTCCGAAAGTTTTCAGCCAAGCCGAGGAGAGACAGGTACCAAGCGTCCTGAGACGACGCCATGATCAAACTCACATCCAGGTAGGGAATCGAGTTTTAAATTTCAACCTCGATGTGGCCCTTGGAGTTTTCAATCGTACTAATGCTATATGGGTCCGTACATGACTGTGAGATGGGTCTTGTTGTGGGTGAAAGGCGTTGTAGTTTTTGAACCGAGATGAGAGAGAAATCAAAACAGGACCGCAGCTGTAGCACAACACTTTGGCTTCTCAAACTTGCCTCATCGCCGTGAAGCGTTGAAACACTCACACATGCACAGAAAATAACAGCGGGCCCGAGAGAGAAACAAAGCTTTTTCAGAGTAGCAGCACTGAGTAGCACAACTCGGTAGCACAACTTATATACACAACCCAACGCTCGGCGAAAGAAATAAAACGAGATAACCGTAGGTGTATGTATACATAGATTTATACACTGTGCAATTGTACCAGCAGGCTTAGGTTAGAAATGCCTTATCAAACACAGTGGGAAAACATACAACAACGCGCGCGCGAATCCAAATTTTTGCCAACGCTTATGTGCGTGTGTACGTATACATATGTACGCTGTGTATATAGTGCATCAGCGAACGTCTCGCTCGGCGCAGATCGGAAAACGCATATATGTATATGTATGCGAGATCTATACTATACAACACGGCCGCACCACACGCGCGTCTGTGTGCGCCTGCCTGCGCTGCAATGTATATATGTATACAAGAGAGAAAAAAAAAGGAAAACTTTGCTCGACTGCAGCGAGGACGCGCGCGCGCTCGACACCCAACTCGAGCCCTATTCGAGATTTTTACCGCTCTAGCAAGCCATTGGACTCGTGCACATCTTATTGTGCTGGCCCTGCGTTTATATGCACTCGCAGTGTGTATGTACACAGGAATTTCAATCGTTGGCCTATACACGTACCTTGCCACCTGATCGTGGCGGTGGACGCATTTTTCTGTTAGAAATAGTTCCTTCTCTGTTTTTCTCTTTTGGCTTGATGTGTAGATACACACACGGAACACATACGCGTAACGCGACACATCCCTACCCTGTACTCGTATAGTCGTATCGTCAGTTGGGTGCGCGAGAACCATTCGCGCACCCATTTAAAGATATATATAGGTATAATCTTCGCGCTATAGCGTACACGTCCAAAAGAGAAAGACCAAACCTTATGTACGCTCTGTATGGGAGAGTTTGAGACGTAAAATTGTATAGCTATAGGTGCATGTGTAGTTACATGTCCGATTACGCTTGTATTATCATCGGTCTACTCAGCTGCAGCTCGAACCCAATTCCGAAGTTACACGCGATATTTCGCCAAAAAATCTATTTTTACATTACTTTATTTTCTTTCCGAATTTTTGACATTTTTCTTTCGCTCAAAGTTGACAAGATTACGAGTAGGAAGAAGTGCGCATTTTTCGTTGTATTATACTTAGTAAGCCGAATGTACGTTCGGTAGCCAATCATCCAGGGGTATTTCGCGAATATGTATATGACGTCTCGAAACTGCAGCAGGTTTGCTGTAATAGTTGCCGTGTAACGTGACAAGTAATGCGTATCTATAACTTTGCTGCTCTTGAATTTAATTTTTTCAAATACAATAACTTAACTTCAAACTTTTCTTCAGTTCAATCATTCCCATGTTACATAAAAACATTTTTTAATTCTTTTCTCCAAAGTTTGATTTATTCAATTTTAGATTAAATAAAAATTTCAAAAAGTTCATTTTGATTGAGCGAGGGTTTAAAGTTTGATTAAAATAAAAGCCAAATCGAAATGTAATAACTTGTTGTAGAAAAATTATATTCAAATGAAAGTAAGCTTCGTAAAAGCTTTGAAATATTATAAACTTGCAGATGATGTTACCTTTATTTATAAATTTTCCTTTGCAAACTGATACGGTACTTAACATTAATCACGATTGAATATGACGGACAAACCGATGTTTTGAACCGAAATTTAAAAATAACCACATAAATTGAAATAGTTGACATTTTTTTATGATAATAAAATATATTCATACTGCATCTGATTGACAAAACACTCCTACCTAAGCTCTGAAATCCGAATCACATTTATCTTTTTTCATAATACTAAATATTGTGATTGTGTTTGCTAGTTACGTGATTCTGACGTGAGTTCTTCATCAATATTGAACAGTGGGGTCTCAAAATCTTTAGAAAAGTATCTTCTTACACCTAATCGAAGCAAAATTTAGAAAAATAGCTCATAACTTAAAATTTACGCGTCAAAGTACAAAAAAATTTAAAAAAAAAACAATATTTTATCAACGGTAAATGCCATATTTAAGCTCTTGGAAGAGGAGCAAACAATTTTTTTAAATTCTGCTCCACTTAAGCGAGAGAGGATTTTACTGAAAACTTTGGGACCCCATAGATCAAAATTGATGGAGAACTTGCTTCAGGAACATGCAGCAAGTGATTATAGGAACACAATATTTAACATTATGAAAAAATTAATGATTGGAATTTCAGGGCTTGTTACTATCATAAAAAATTTCAAATATTTCGATTTATATGGCTATTTTTACATTTTAGCACGAAACACCGGTTTGTCCCCTTAATGGAAAAATAATCAGTATTAAAAAAATGTAAATTTGTAACTGTCTTTCGTGAGTGAACACGAAAAATACATGCGCAAGCTTTTTAAAACCTTGCTGGAACCGCTAGCTTATTGAAATGATTAAAATTTTTAACAATCGAAAAGTCCTTGTTGAAATTTTTTGAGCTCTCAGTAAGAAAAATTTAAGGAACTGCGACAAAAAATTGCTCGCCAACGAGTTTTACACTAAAAATGAAGCAATCGATTCGTGCCGATTACGCGTAGATGCACGAACTCGATCGACGCCACGAGGATATCGAGTTTATTGTACATGTGTGTGGGTACATGAGCCAGTACGTCGATTGGTTTTTAACACTCGTCGCGCACGTCGTTTAGTCGTACAGAATAGCTCGAGCGCAGTCACAGCAGCGTGCCTATGTGTGAAAAACGCGAGCGAAGGTGTACACGGCAGTGCACGCGCGAGTACTCCGTGTGCATATATACCGATTCAGTAAACGAGTCGCCGGGCGCGCGTTCGGTCGCCAAGAGAGGAGCGCGTCGATTATACAGCGCAAATGATTCGCGCAACTTGGACGCCGATCGCGATCAACATGGCCTCGCAAAGTTCCATCGTTTTAGGACTGACGCTTTGCGCTTTTGTCACGGCGATCGCGGCATCGTCATCCTCGTCGTCGAATTACCAAATCACGACGGAAGCATCGACAACTGAAGCAGCATCGACGACGATAACATCGGTCAAGAACATGAGCAGCGAGCATCGCCTGGCCAAGCTCGTCAAATTGTTCTCCAAACCGGGAGCTTTCAATCAGGTGAACGCAATACCTCTCGATCTTTTTTAATTTAACGAATCACCTCGTAACTCGTTTATAAATTGCGGTTCGCGTGGGAGGGAGGAGAGGGGACACTAAAGTTTCTAATTCATTGGCATTTTTAGTTCGCGCACGCATTCACAGACACACACATTGACAGTGTGAACCGCAATTCCTCCAGAGTGCATGACCAGTATGATATAATTTGCAGCGATTCGATATGTATACACCGTGTTTTACGTTCACGCGAACTCAATGAATCAAAAAACATCTTCACAGAGTTGAATCAACGGTTCGCGATCAGACTATTTCCTATGCACTTAAAAATAGCTAATTGTCGTTGGGATTACGCGATTGTCTGAACATGTACTGATAATAATCATACATTTCCGGATATACCGATTTTCTCTGAATTTCTCTGCTACAGTTGTATTTTCGTTGCGCGAGATTTTAATGTAAAAATTTAACTCAACTGCATATATGCATGCGGTTCGATTGAAATGTCGCAACCGATCGGCTGACGCGCGGCGCTCGCGGCTGATCCAGTCGCGGATTTACATTTTTATGACAGGTTGAAGGCTCGCGCGTGCATATTCAGACACGATACATTTACTTTTCCTATTTTCTCTAACAAGCCCCCTCGAAGACTATCTAAATACCCACACGTTGACGAATTATTAATTGATTTATTTGTCGCGTGCTTTTATAGATCGACGCGATATTCAGCGAGGAAGAGTCCGAGTACGAGATCAACAGTCGTGAACAGTTGCAAGCCGCGTCGAGATTTTCGAGCCAATCAGCGACTACGACCACGAAGACCACGACCACAAGGTGTCCCGACGGCGAGCAAGGTCTGGAATGCAGACGTGCGGAGGCGCGACGTTCCGTCGATTGTCCCCGAGGTATGGTATTAAGCATGTACACATTTGCACACACGTACGAGTGTACGGTCGAAGCGCAGTGCAGTGCTTCAAGTCTCTCTCGCTCGCTCGCTCGCACGCACGCACGTGATTTCCGCGATGCAGGCAGTGTTGTGTACTGCACGCTGTAAATCGGCGCAAATGTTGCAGCGCGCCGATGCCCTTGACAAAACATTGCGCGCTTCGCACATCCGAACGCGTATTACACATGTACGTGTATAAAACCGCTCCCCGGTTTTATTCTCGAATTAAAATTTTCATCCTGACAATGACATGTACGTACACGTACGTACATGGGTACGCGCGAGCTGCGTTTTGCGCGATTTTTTACACGCACGTGTCGGTCGTACCGTACCTGCACATTACGAACACGATCGCATCGGTAAATATGTTCGTTTTTGTCGCATACATTTTCGCGTTTATAATGTGTGGGTATATTTATATAGTAACTCGTAATCATTGCGAACGAGTGAAAGTATTATTGCACTGATTTTGAATATATTTTTTTTACCGATTGATTGTTAACTAGGGATATAAATATATCTTCATGATTGCAAAGTGAAATCGAAATATTGCCAGCGATCGGTGGGTCTTTTATCTATTCTCGCGTGCTCATTTTTCCCACTTCTATTGCGGGAAAAATCGGTAATCGGTTCAGATATGTCTTTCGAAAGTTTAATCACGTTTGGCGATCGAAATCCATCGCGTTTCGAAATTGGCCTTATCACGGTGCAAGCATCATTTTTACCTGAACTTAGCTAATTTAACAGCTTCGAAAATTCAAATAATTAAAAACCCCTCGAAAAAATAATTTGTTCGTCCGACGCATCGTTTCGTAATTTACGCGTATATATAATCGCAATCGCACAAATGCACACACGTACACATTGTATATAGACTTTCATATAAAAGTATAATATTTTAACATGCATCGCAGGTGACTGTTTCTGTTACAACTGCGCGAAGGCCGGACCCGAACTATGGGTATCTTGTTGCAAGGAGAGCCTGAAATGTTGCTCTCATCTGGCCGCAGCCTGTCGACTCTGCGATCAACCGGTCCTCTATCCGTTTTGCGCAAAAAGCTTCAAAAAGTGCCTGAATCAACTCAACGATAAAAAATTGCTCTGAAAAGAGACATACACCTCCTTTCCTTCTCGGTTCCAGCCTCGCTTCACGACAGGATCTTGACCGATTTTTTTTATTTTTTCTTTTGAATCAAATGCTCGTATACTCAAAATAAGTGTGAAAAATACCTCATGTTCGTGGTTTTTTTACGTTCAGATAGGAATTTATGAATTATTTATTGTACTGAATACTGGCATAAGATTAAAAATACGTAAAAATAAAAAAACTTATTTTCGATTAAATTTGAAGCTCGGTTTACTGAGACTCCTTCATTTTCTATTGTACTCCTAAGACTCATTATAAAAAGCGTTTTTCAGTTGTTAGAGTGGAATTCACTCTTATACATAGAGGTGTGCACGAGCATTTTATAATTGCATAACGGTCTTAGAACAATAAAACGAGCAGCCACTATAAATATATAGCGGTTGTACCCTGACGTCAAATTGTAATACAATCGTGTTTAGACACCTTGATTAGGGTAACAAAAAAAAATAATTTCAATATGTATATATTAAGTTGTGTAAAAATTTTTTTTTTATTGTCCAAACTAATGCTGTGTATCATATAATGATAATAATAATAATAATAATAATAATAATAATAATAGCAATAATAATAATAGCAATAATAATAATAGTAATAATAATAATGATAATATATAATAAAGAAAACCTACACTTATATTCATAGAATAGTTGTATGTAATAATTTATGTACAAATTATTTTCCTTTTTTGTCAATTAAAAGGAAAAAGTGTGGATAAATCGTTCGCATAAAGTGAATACGTATATAATAATTATATTATGTATAGTGTATATACGTATACAATAGATATACATATTTTTATCGTTAACTTTATCAAGTTTTTTTTCATGATAATGTAAAAATCGGCGATGATAGATCGTAAATTTATCCTATTAGATTGAATGCGGCAAGAACAGTCAAGTTTAATTTTCTTGTTGGAGCGGAAAAATTATTTGTCCATTTCGAGAAACTAATTATTCTTTGCTCGAGCTCTTGTCGTCATGTTTTGGAAACCACATGTGTATCTTTTCGACTGCTGTGGAAAAAGAACTTCTTAGCTATAGAGATGTTCATTGAGGTGCAGCAAGATTGGTTTATAAAACAATCAACAAATATCGAAAAGCAACATGAGCTCAGTCGTATAATACGATCGGGATACTGTAATATACACGTAATGCCTTCTCTTTCATAATCGCATCGTTTCGCCATTATAATATTATATATATATTATTTATATATATAATTATTATACAGACAGCGCGATATCATATTATTATATCAACACCCGAGAGAAAAACTAGTCCATTAAATAATTTGGCTGGGAATTGAGTACTTCAATTTCTATGACGTCAAAAAAGATTTTTTTGAACTCGAAAGAAATTCCAAATTTTTACTGCTCTTCAATAAATTATTTGGACATTATTTGAAGTAATTTTTGAAGTAGACTAGTTTGTTTCAGGTGACGATAAATACATACGTTTGTTAATGTGAATGCGCGCTTATTAAATTGCACGAGTTTTTTTTAAATACTTAATAATTTTTCCTTCTCTTTACGCATGTACAGAGCGTGATGTTTTTGTTTTTTAAAGGTATTTCGATTACATATGACTTCGTTAATTTGATTCAAGTATTTTAAATAGATAAACAGATGATTCAACCCTTACAGAGATATAATCATACGAATTTTTGTACCTCGACGTTTGTATTTTCGAGTTTTTGCTTTTTATGAAATACATATTTAAAAGAGATTCAAATACCTTATTACCTAAAATATAGTTATACATTAAATTTAAATTTGTGTCATACCAATGTACATTTATCTATAAACGATCAGCATAATTCAGTTTACTTGCTTTCACTTTTTCGTAATTAATAGTATGGAAAAAGTGATCATTCAATACTTATACACAAAGAAAAATATTTAGTATAGACGAGTAAAATAGACTTCCATGAGTTTTTATTTATATTATGAGTTTAAATTATAAGTTTTTGTTTAAAAACGCTGTCTTCCGAATGTTGCAGTACAATATAATTGACTTGAAAACCGATGGTGAAGTAGGTTCTGTGCGTGTGAGTGAAAGGTGAAGAAATGCGGTTAGACACAGCCAGTATTGTAATTGTTATAGAACATTGTAATAGTACTTGAAAAAAAAAATTATATTAGAAAAAAAATTAAAAAAAATTAAGTCCATTTTTGCTATAATAAATATTGTTTACAAATTGCTTGACCAGAGTATATATTATAATTTATCATTGCTAAAACAGCAGTTAAAAATAACCGATTAAAAATGTTCTTAAAGTATGGATACAAAAATGTATCATATTTGTTTGAAAACATATTTATCATTTGATTGATAATACGTAGTAATAGATCAGAATCCTAATACGTCATAATTTTTAAATAATAATCTGTGTTAATAAATTATCGCATAAATATTTAATAATTACACCTGATCACCTGATTATAGTTATAGAAAAATTTTAACATTTCGAAATTTACATTTCTGAAAAAAATCTTAATTTGATCATCTAAATTAAATCATTTTCGTGAAAAATCACAAATTGCATGCTTGCAAAAGCTATCGAAATACCTACGTATATATTATACATTTGTATTTTACCTTAATTAACCTTTACAACCTTCTACTAATTTTTAAGAAATTAATACTAATTTAATATTAAACCAGTCGATTGTCATTATGAATGTTAATCCAATCTTAACTCATAAAATACTCCTGATGGATTATTTTGTGTAATATTTTTTCCCAAATAAAAATTCAATTCTATTTCCATTTCATTGACACTATTGAATAATTATGTTTTAATTACAAACATAATTTCAATCAAAAGATAGATAAATTTACACACTCAACTTCACACCACTGTTTTTAATAAATAATCAGTGTTCAAAGCATGTTTTTATACTCGCTTTCGTATAATTTCAACCTAATATTAAAAATACACTTAACACAGTCAATTTTTTTGACGTCATTGTCAAAAATATTTGTATCTTCAGTTATAAGAAAAGAAAATGTTATCAGTATTAATAAGCACATTTTCAGAGACACAGGTGCAAATGTGTACGTGTGGCTAAGACAGCAGCGACTGAATTAAAATACAAGTCTCTCGGTCTCTCTTTTTTCAGCCTTTTTTATACTATCTGAATGTTGAAAAACTAGTTCAGAGCCTTACGTTAATCGAAGCGTGTCCAAGTTTAAGTGACGATTCACTACTTCTGGTTACGTTTTCCAGTTGTGCGGATGAGCTCGTGAAGGAGTTTGATTGGATTGATTTTGGGCTGCTTGAGAGGGTATCATATCCAACAAATATTGTCGTTGAATATCAGCAGTATGTCGATGAAGCTCTGCAGCTAAATTTTTACCGGCGTTATTTTGTGCGCTGGCCTGAGCCATTTGGTGAGCAAGTTGGTACGGGTACAGTAGAGGATTAAAGGTCATCATATGAGGCCCTATTGATTGATGTTGATTTAATCCACCTACTGGGGAAGACTTCGACAATTCTGAAAATTCATATTTTTTCATTAAATGAGTTCAAATTTTAAATTCAACAAAAATATTGAAAAAATTAATTTTGTTTTTCATGAAAAAGAACATTTTTTTTTAATTGCACAACACGACATCTTACCTCGTAAAAGCTGTTGTTGTAATTGTTGCGCAGCAGCTGCTGCAACATTTGCAAATCCTTGGTGTCCATATTTAGAAGATTCAACTAATTTAGCGAGTGCCTGCTGATCTTGCAAAGCTTTAGATGCAGGAGGAGTTGCTGAAATCTGTGGCATTTGCTGCGGTGGAACTGGTGGAGTGGAACGTCTTGTAGGGGTTGGTACTTTAGGTACAGATTTAGGTAAAACAGATATGTGTACAGGTGGATCTGGACTAGCGCTTGTCGTCTGCGCTAACCTTTCGTCAATTTCTTTTTCCTGTTTTAAAGCTTTGACGAACGCCGTCTTCAATCTAAAATAAATTTTAAATCAATTGAAATACCATTTTACAAAAAATAAAAAATATTTCATCATAATTGAATCAAAATTATACATACCGATTAGTGTGTTCAGCTTTGAGAGCTTTCTTAACATTGGTAGTTACACAATGTTCACAAATAACTCTAGGATCTCTAGGACCAGCTGATGGTTTTTGGAAAGTTGCATGACCCGTTTGTCCATCTTTTTTATTGCTACTAGCTGGTTTCTCCCATTTCCAGAGGGTTGTGAAGTCTGTTTTACACTGTGTGCACTCAAATGGTTCTGATGGTGGAGGTGTTGGAGGTACTTTAGTTATATAATCTACCACATGCTCTAAACCAAGAAGGTACACAAATTCTGGATTTGATGGGCTAGGTATAAAATGCATTTCTGGTGGTGGAGGCTTGGGAGGAGGAATCTGCAACAGGGTTTTTTCTAGTTGTTTTCTTAAAGCCTGTTTGGCTGCAGCTTGACGTTGCACAGGAGTTTGTGGATCTTCCCTGGTTCTTTCCTGAAAACATCATCAATTGAATAAATTACTAAAGAATCCATAAATTGAAAAACACATTAAAAATGGGAGAAAAAAACTTTAAGGAACAATCAATAAATAAGAACACTCAATTGTAGCTCTAAAAATGAAATCAATTGAGTAAAGCAAGTAATTATCTTATTTCTTTCAATGAATTTTAAAAATTATATAACTAAAATATATGATAAAAAATACTCAAAAATCATAATTTTTAAGCAAGCTCTGTGCATTAGTCAACTAACTATGCATTTGAGTAAATTTTTTATTACATATATTATGCACTTTGAGAACTTGTTCAACTCATAATGTAAAAGCATACATGTGTACCTGATCAGGCATCACAGGTGTATGAGGCACAGCAGATTTGTTATCTTGTGATCCAATAAGCTGGTTGATAATAATTATAAAAATATTTGTGTTATTGTGAATCAGTAAAGTTAATGTTAACTATTATAGGAAGTGAAACTTTGAGATAAAACATCCATATTAGTACTTCCAACACCATGCTAGTACAATCTCCACTAACCCTTTGTAATTATATATAAAATCATGAAAACTTACTTTTAAGTGTACCTGATGGGCAGGTGATGGCATTGGGTCTTTGGTTGATCTCTCTGTGCGGTCCGCAGAATGATAAGAACTTGATGTGTTGACAGTGTTTCTCCCTCTTGGGTGTGGGGGATGAGGTATTACCATATTTGAAACCATTCCAGTACTAGACATGGAGTTTCTACCACCAGTTGGAGTTAACAGCATTCCGGGGGGAGGACCATGCATACTGGTGCTACCTCTTGAGGGAGCTGGCTGACCTCTAAGCAGTGGTGGTGGACCCTTGCCAGTTCTGTGTCTGTGATCATATAAAAATTAACCATTAATTGCAATATAAATCAATTCCTCAAAAGAATATAGTAAATGCAAAGCTAAAATGAAAAAAGAAAAGTTTATAAATAAACACCGTACTAACCCATGCTGCGAAGGTGGTGGCACTGGTGACATTGTCACAGGCGGGGGTGGTAATTTAGTTGGTACTTTTGGTACAGCAGCAATATTTTCTTTAAGCTGTGATTGTTTAATTTTTTTTAAAAGCACAAGTAACATCTCTTCTGTTCTTACTTCTTCTCTCAATTTTCTCAATTGCTTTTCTTTTTCTTCTAATTCTTCAGGAGTGAGTTCTTTAATTGGATGCATTTCGACAGCATCATCTAATAAATTTGAAATTTAATATATACATAAAGTCACAGATCCAATTTATTAATTATTATAAAAAGTTACCTTTTTCATTGTCATTAGTGAGTGATCCATTAAGATAGCCATTCATTCTGTGTTCATCAGGACTTTCTGCATAACTTCTCTCAGTTCTAGGTCTGAGATTACGTCTAGTTTGGCGTTCATTGCGAGATTGATTAGCCAGAATCCCCCTCGAGGAGTTCTGAATATTTCTTGATGCTTTCGGCATGTTGCTTTCAGTATTTATATTATTTACGCAATTACCACCTAAATTTAATGGAACTGCCCTAGGCTCATTAGTTGCTGAATTGGTTGCATTCGATGATGCAGGAATTAAGTTAAGAGATATACTAGGTGACTCTCTCCTGCTATTCCTTTTATAGAAAGGAAAAGAAACCTTGAAAAATGGTATCTACCCTTCAAGATCATGTACTGCTATCAAAAACTTACCCCACGCTTAAATCAACCACATCAGTTTCGTATTCCATGGTGTAATAATCTGTAACAAAAAAAAATTCAAGTAAGTCATTTACTTCAATATAATCGAAAGTAAAATGGTACATTTGATAGAGTGCAAGTTGCTATTTTCAAACATAAATAATCAGACGACCTATCTATTCATGAATAACATTTATAAAAACAGAACAGTAAACTAACCAACAACAGAAAATAGCGTCTCACCGTTGAGTTAATTTAATAGCGACTAAAAATAAAAAGTTCTGTCAATCAATGAGCAATTACGAAAGAAGACAAAACCTAACCTTCGTTTGAAAGAGTTACCGTGCATCTCGGCAATTTTTGTGTATGTACGTACGAATATGCTATATGTACAACTTTTTTCAGACAAACCTGCCAAAGCGTTAAAGTGCATACAGATTCATACAGTTCATTATACAAAGCCTGTTTATTGCAGATCGAAACGACCTTGTGTATATGTATAACAAGTACAACAGGAGAAACGCATGTATGTATATTTAGTACCTGATATTTTGATCAGTTGCTATTATTTCCACCGACGAAGTCCAATTAATGATGTTTGTATAGTTGATTGACTTTATATGCGTGAGAGGTTTTTGTCCTTAACTTTGAGTAAATATAAGTAAGGAATTCAGCAGAAGCGACGAGAAAAATAGTCACCGAAACGAATGCACTTGGCACGTAACAACCCAAGTGTTGGTCGTATACTGTGCCACATCCATCAATTGATATCGGAACACCGTATGCGATACATGCCGAACGCCGAATGCGGCGGTATATGACTGCAGACCGTCGAGCGTATGATACGAAGTCACTTGCACACACGAACACACGCACAGCTTAAAGCGTGAAGATAAGTGCACATTTCGTGCGCGTGTGTGTGTGCCTTTATTTTAATGAGCGTCGCGGTGGCGGTGGCGACAGCGGTGCTCTGCGGAAGCGATGGTTCGACTACTTATACGTGCGCACGACTCCACGAGCGAACGAAAATATAATGCGATACATAAAAATAAAGGAGTCCGCGTAAGTAAATGCAGCGCCGCTGTTACTGCTGCTGCTGCTGCTGCTGCTGTTACTGCCGCGCGAGGCGAGGCGATACATATCGTGAGGCAAAGAGAGCGGGTGCGCGCGGCAGGGTTCAGCGCTCCAAACGGGATGGAGAGTCTCTTGCGGTCAAGAATAAAAAGTACGAGCATGCGTTGTAATATACACACGCGCCCGCGAGAGACACCGAGCTCTACTCGGAAAATTCATCAAGTGCGAGACGCCCTTTCGAGGGTTCGTAATCAGTACCGAGCGCAGGTTTTTAACAACATAAAACGAGCGTAAACTTCGACGACGAGTAAACACGCTTCTCTCCCCTCTTTTGCGAAATGGTATTTTTTTTTTCGTCGAAAATCATGAAAATGCAATTTCTCGCAAAGAAAGCCCACACCGCCGGACTTCTTTGCACGCATGTGTGCACGGACAGAGAGGCAATTATTGAAGCAGTTAAAGAGAAAGGCGCTATAGATCGGAGAGAGAGACCCATAATGAGAGCTACAAAAATTATATAGCATTGGAGCGCGAGCGCAAGGAGAGCCGCGCACGATATATACTGTGGAGTTTTCATTATGTACAGGACTGCATGTAAAAGTCCGTAGAATGCGGAAGTTTTAGCGAGTAGTCTTGCGCGAGACTATGCATCTCTAAATGCATTTTACCTATGTGTGCATACATAATATACATATAGGCCGTGTATTATAATATACATATGGGTATTGAATTAGGTATATGGGCTAATTTTTCATGTGAAAATTGACAAACAATCGAAATTATTAGTTAAAAACCATGTACGTGATTTCAAACCCCCATTGACACCAAATAAAATAATTTCATCAGTTCTTCAATGAAGATAAAATTATTACTTGAATATAGATTTCATTTTTTGGTTGTATCATATCATACTCAAAGTCATACAACCCGTATGTACGCGAATACTTGAAAAAAGTAATCCCCATAACAATGGCAAATTTATTTTTGAATTCGTTCATCGCGTCTTTCGTTCTCTCCACGCGTTGAACATGAGATTTATTAAAAAATGACATTATGAAATAAACGAGAAAAAATAACGTGTGCATTTATGCGGTCGATTTGTCGAGCTACAAAATACACGTATTTATGCACATCTACGTTTACGTAAAACACACATACGTGATAAACCAAGAAAGAGAGATAGAAATGAGTAGACAGCACGAAGCAAAAGAGAAGTAGAAAGAGAGAAAGAGAGAAGGCAGTAGCAATAATTAACGGGCGGACAGATGCGCGTTGCCAACGGTGTACCATGTATGTGCCATCGTTATACTCTCCTGCACATGTGTGATAGTGTGCACGTAATATGTGTGCATGTACATACGTACACTGTGGGGGCTCATGGTCATGGAGGTGGAAGCGGCAGAATACTGAATTTTACGAGTTTCAAGCCAGAGAGAGAGAAAGAGAGAGAGAGTGAAACAAACGAATTCGCGACTCTCTTCGTGCATTCGAGGCATATTAAAATTTTACGGAATCTCCGGTGACTTTTATGATATCGTCACGATTTCACACGCCTGCATTATTAAATATGCAGGTATGACTTAGAAAAGACCGCTCCGTTATTGTATCGAAGAATTAGCGATGGACACTATGTACGAATGATTCAAAGAAAATAATATTGATCAATCACGCAATCTAGACTCTTTTTTGAGTATCGACATCGAGTACGTGCTCGAGATAAGGCGCGAATTTATGTACTTTCGATGAGCCTCATTTCTCATTTACGAACTAGCTTATAAACTGTGTACATTTTAAAACGAAGCGCGTTTTTTCAAGTTTCCATTTAAAAAGATGATGGAAATGGTGAATAAAAATGTTTTAATAAAGAGACACTTTACCATTCAGAAAATGAATTGCCGAAATGAAAAAACATTTAAAAATAGAAAAATAAGTTAGAGGCACATTATGATAACAACTATCACTCGAGAAACCATAGAATTGTAAAGAAAAAACAAACAAACAGCAGAGCAACTTATACGCTAATGCTACTATGTTTAACATATCAAAAACACTAGTTACTTACCGCTGACGTTGGTTTGTTTTGATCTTCCAACAACAAAAACGAAGGTTGAGCCAAGCGCAGGAGAAAAGAAGCGATGCACAATCGCACGGATACTTAGCAGCCGTCTTGTGGTGGTTTTCTATGTCTCGATCTCGATTCGGCGAGACGAGTGCAAACTGCAAACCACTGCCTGCAGCAATTGTAACCTCAAAAGAGCGCGGGTGACGCGAGATTCTGCTTTGCGTGCATTGACACTGGCGTTGTTTCTGCTCGCAGCACGGAGAATGGTAAATATGCACACGATCGATGTAGCCTCGAATTCATGAAAAATTTGCAACGCAATGCCACTTCCGCGAGTCGCGGCAATATTCACAAATCGATCTTTAACTTTTTTTTGCCATCAATAATGCCAGACTGTCACGGTCTGATGTAGTGTGTACATTTGCCCTCGAGTATTGTAAGTGAGTGTAAAGGGGTACGTATGCACACGTCACTGTATCCAGAGTCACTAGTGGTCACTTATAATTGTTTTTTATAGTAATTCAATCATAAAAAATTTCACCGACCCTCAAGGATGCCGATGATCGCAAACTCGAGCAATATCGAAGCAGCCGATTACGATGCTAAATCGTCTGCGGTGCCGAAAAACACATACATGAATGGTTTGAACGCGGCAAACAGCATTGACTAGTAGCGAAGATTCAAGTTCGACTGTTCATCGGGGATACATGCGTACATTCAGTGACGCAGGTTTATTTTCAGTGACCAATACCTTCGTCAAAGAGTGTAGTTTTTATTTCTGATGAACTAAGCACAGATGTTATGTATCGTATACCGTATGATCTATGGTGTGCGTCTGCAGTCTGCGACTGCCGCCGTCTGCGAGTATACGATTGTCATCAACTGTATAGATATGTGAATAAATATGTGTGCGTGTGTGCGTCCGCCGCACGCACACAGATGCCAGCAAAATGGCGGCTACTGTCGAGCTAGAGGTGCATGGATCGAGACACGGCGACGAGTGGTGTGCGTGCGCGTGTATATTTGAACGTCAGCCTTGCTTACGAAAGAAAATAAAACGATGGGACTGCTGGCTTTTTGTATGATATCGTGACTCGCTAAGAAAATCGAAAAACAGAGCGGGTTCCGGTGCAATCGGTGAATTATTTCCGCGACTACTGGCCCACTGCAGCGTGAAACGGACTAGAGAGTACGCGGCATTCGTGTGTGTAAAAGCAAATACACTGACTAAACCTGTCACGACTTAATTAAAGTATGGATAGCAGTAAGTTAGCCTCTCCCGGGCCCACGTCCCGATGCAACTGCTACTGCTATGATACTGACGTTCTTTCTCTCTCTGTCTCTCTCTCTTTTTCTCCCACCTTTTGCAGTCGCGCGCGTCGAGTTGAAAAAGGAAGAGACAGAGAGCTAGCTATCTCCCTCTATTCGATACGTTGTATATGTAGTGTAATACCGGCTGCTCTGCCGGTCGCTGCTAATGCATCTATAGGATTTATACATATCGCCACCCCAGCGCGAAAACCCATTTTAAAAAACTTGAGGGCCAAAAATGTGCCTCAGTCCTATCTTTTTGACACAGGACTAAGGATATGAGAATGATCAGGGTATAATAAAATTGCATACTTCAAAAGTAAACATCAAAGGAAGCTTTCCAAAATTTGAGCTTTCAAGTTTCTTGATTCTTCATTAATACATAGGCTCAAAGTTGAATTCTCATTTTTTAAATTTTATTTTTATTTTATGGGAAAATACTGAAAAAAATATTGGTTAATGATTTTTTGTGTAAAGTTTGATGACCTCTCAATAGCCGATAAATTTTTCAGTCCCATTAGTTTCCATCGCTGGAATGTTTCCTTTCATAATGTAAGGTAAAGGACCCCATTATGGAACTTATGAGAAAATCAAAGAAACATGTACATAATTCCCATAAAAAATGTATGAAATATTTCATATGTGATTTAGTCGCTAAAACTTGTGCTTCTGAATATGAATCGACATTCAATATTCATTTTAAATAAAGAAAAAAAAATTATTAAAGTTGAGATCTTGTATTTAATAGCTAATTCATAATAGGGGCAGTTTTCAAAAATACTCCATAATAGGATCCGTTACCTCATGGGTGCAACTTATTGTTGTCTATGTATCGGTGTAACTTCTGTTTTTCTGTTTGTAGTCATAACTTACAATTCTATAAAGCTGATGCAGCCACTGTTGGCGCCTATGTCGGATTTTTACCCATTTACACATTATTGATAACGATGTCCTTGTTTTTTAATAACTTTAACAATCACTCCATGATACATGATCTAGCTAGTTTGATCTAAATTTAGTTTTAACGATAATATTCAATTTTATCAATTGTACAATGGTCTAGGTCATGAACAATGAGACCACTTGTTTTCAAACATTATTGTAGAATCTTCACAAAAAAAAATACTGGTATTTTTTTGTTTGATCGCATGGTCTTCACCTAAAATCATTTCTATTTTTATTATAAAGTCTACTTTATCTCACAAAGAAACAACTTTTGATAAAATATACATAAAACAAAAAATTTATGAATTAGTTCGGCATACGTTTGAATTTTTTTTAGAAAAAGTCTTTCAAGACCGTTTATCATCTACTTCTTTGAAGATTTACCATGAATTTCAAAAACCTCAGTGATTATGGAGAATACTTGATAAAGTTTCAAAGAAAAGCAATGAACAAATGTTAAAAAATAAAAGACAAGTCTTATTGTCACAATGATAAGTGTACCATTGTATATGGACCAAAAGGAATCATAAGTATTACGAAGTTAAAAATTCAAAGTACAGTTGATTTCAGAGATATTAATTACTGTCTTGAAAATCTATATGCTCCTTAATTAATACAATAAATTATGATTAATACAATAAATTATGAAAGTTTTTCAATATAAAAATGTTTTATTCACTCTTAGGAATTATTTTTGTGATTTAACAACGACATTATATTTAAAAACGTTTAAATAACATTTAATAAAAGAGTTTGAACAATAATATTGACACATAAATGTAAGAATTTGAATAACAATGTCAATTTTTTTATTCTGAATCAAAACTGATATTTTAAAATATCAAATAGATTCTAGTTTAAATTTTTTTAGATCCACTAGAAGTACTTATATCAAGAGCTGAAATTTTTTTTGATACTTTTGCTTTACTTCGTTTTGTATTATTTTGCAAGCAATCAGCTTCTTCATCATCAAGTTTTTGATACTTTCCTCTTTTTTTAGCAGGTGTGTCATCAGGAAGAGCATCATCGTTACTGTTTACATTCTTCACATTATGATTAAAATTTTTTTCCTAATAAGTTTTTATGATTAAATTTTATGAAGATAATAATAAATATCAGAATTAATTTACTTACTTTATTATCTTCTTCAGACAATTCACGAGCAATAGAATAATCTTTAATTCCTTCTAAAATATCTTGTTTATTTTTATAATCACGACCATCTTCTAGTAAATATGAGACAGTTTCCTTAACTTGATGCCTAAAAAAGCATTATGATTAGCAGTTATTCAATAATATGCCTACGGTCGTACTTACTCTACAAGTTCGTTGAAGGCGTTTCCATCATTAGTGTCTACGAAACGTGACAGTGCTCGATTAAGTTCATTCAAAGAGAGAACAGTGAGCTTGCCCACCTGGTCATCTTGTTTAAAGTAATCACTGATTCCTCCTTGAACAGATCGTTTCCAGTCTTTGTCCCCCTAAACAATAAGTACGGTTTAATTCAGTCGTACATAAAGTATGTGGTACTGAACTACAATAATTGATTTATAATATGACTATCTTTCGGTATTTTGACGCCGTATATTATCGAAAGAAGGAAGATTGATGTCTTAAATAAGAAAATGGGTGCCAGGACGGTTTGTGCTGTCTGAAGAAAAGTAGGAAGTTATAGTTTTTATAACGAAAATTGGGACTTTCACTTTTTGGCAAAGTAACTAATGTTCATCACACAAGTTATTATGCGTAGGGCAATCGCCAATTAATTTTAAATTATTATTATTCATTATTCATCAAGCATACACAAGTGGCATCCCAAATCGTTTGAACTTGCAATCACACAAAGCTAGAGCTTTGATACTCTCTTTGCTTCACTATAGTCAGCATAATCATAAGAAGTTAAATTACTTACCTCATCAAAACGAAATATTTCTTCTATTTCTCCAAGATCTTGATTAGATGGAATGATGTCTTTTTTTTTCAATTTTGACGAACATTTTCGGAAAAGAAATATATCATGTGGATTCGCAACAACATGGTAATACTTTTGAGAAAGCCTACAAGGAATTATTTTAACGTTCATGAAAAACAAACTTTATATAAATAAATATTTTAATAAATTTACCTTAATGGATCAAACATATCATTATCATTGCTATAAAATATTCTCAGTCTGATTAACGGTTTTTGAGGCTGCATTGGATGATCTGAAAATATCCGGAAAAAATGTAGTGTCACTCTTTGTGAAAAAATAAATTATAATAAGTGAGAGCACATATGGATTTATAAATATAAAAGTTATAAAAGACTCAAGCTTATAACCCATAAATAAATATATATGAGTCAAAATAATATTTTTTGAGAGATCACATTTGAGAGATTTTTTCTTTTTCAAGAAAAAGAGAAAAAGATTTTCAGATTTGATATCAAATAAGATTGCAATTAACTTCTGAACTTTTCAATAATTAAGTTCTTAAGTATCCGAAAAATCTGAAAAAATTCTGGTCTTATTGAACTGTTGAAAGTTACCTCTGTCAATTTTTTTCGATTTTTCAAGTGAAAATAAAACTTCAGAATCGGTACCGAAAAAGGGGCTATAATATTATAGATATCTTCTAAGAATGTAACAATACATACCAGTTAATAATTCAGTAGCTCGTGGAATTAACACGTTTTCAACGTAGTTATCAACAAACTCTTCTACGGCTTCAGTCCTACTTTTAAAAGTAGAAATTTCATCATTACATTCATTGAGTAATAAGTCCTCGAAAACAAAAGGTCTGACAGTTTTCAGTGGCAATTGATCCATTTTGAATTTATTTTTATAAATACTCAATAATCCAACGTGCTTTGGAACGGACTCTCCTTGAGCTAATGAAGTTGCTACGGAGCTTCCTTATAAATTGGATAGATTGGAAAATACCAAATTTGGAAAATACCAAACCAATTTGGAAAATACCAAATTGGATAGATTAATTTTATTATAGTATACGTATCAATCATCATTAGAATATAGTTAATAGACATATTTACCAGGTTGACACACGTGAATTTTCGGATTTAGCTTTGATCGTTCAGGCATTATTAAACATTCATGTTCATGCCCGTAAATAACAAGATCTAGAAAATCTGGCAGTAAATCTTCAGGAACAAATGAATTTTTACTATGTTGAGCCCTATTTTGATGCAAAATTAACATATTGAAGGGGTTTCCAGTTTCTTCACCTCGCACAAAATGAAACTAAAATATTTTTATAAGTTTTTATCACAAATATAAATTTCAATAATTTTATTTGAAAATATATCGTTTGAGAATTTTCTTTCTTAATTGTTACTTTTAAAAATTACATCATTTTCTAAAAACTACTTTGTTTCCCTTTTAGTTCCTCTTTTAACCTGTCCAAAAATATTTACTAGGTGAGTGGTGATTCTGTCCGATGGAACGCCGGAATTTCCCTATGCCTATACACGTTCTACAACTCTGTTGGACCGGACAAAATTAACGCTCACTTTGTATGTACCATGAATTCAGCGGAATATGAAAATCTCTAGCGCAAGTTCATTTAAAAATGTTGAATGTTTATGAAACTTTAACACTTTGCTAAATGAACCATTACTTAGGCCAAGCTGATGTATGAATGAGCATTTCACGTAAAAAAACTATTATTAAAAAACGAAATAGTAACACTTATAATCAGATGTTTTGAAACTGATATAGTTAAGTGCCAACGTTTTATCTAAATATTACAGTACTATGTATAATTATTCTAGTTTCTAAATAAACTGACTAAGAATTTGCGATAGAAGCATTATTTGTTTAGAAGTAATTTGATTAAAATTCAAGTTATAAACCTTATCGTTTCTTATCAGCCGGGAGAGTCGTTGGTCATTCATATAACTTAATCCGTAAAGAGCAACAGTAGTACTTCCTTTCCGAAAAAGTAAAGGAACGATTGAAATTTTCGTGACATCAGACCACTTTCCGAAATAATTTATGAGCCCAGTAGCTGCAAGAACGTCCATTGTTCCAACAGCTCCAAAACCTTTAAATTAGAAAAAAAACATGCAATATTTTGATTTATCTTGAAAGCTTTTTTTAGACTAATTCATCAAAATGAATAATGAAATAAGAAAGTAACCCGTCAATTCGTTTAGTCAAACTTATCCATTAGGTGCATTATACAGGGTGTTCCAAAAGTATAAAAACCCCTAGATATCTTGCACAACAAGCGCAATAAAAATTAAAAAACCCCGTGTTCGATGTAAATTTCGACGAGGAATCGAATGGTGACCTTGAATTTGACCTTGAGCATAATCTCAAAGCTACAGCAAACCAAAAATCGATTTTTCAAATAGGAACCCCTCTTTTTATTTCAAATTTGAAAAGAGTAAAAACTTTTACGTACGAATATGCTTTTGGTTTTTTTTAAAGGAAGCGCGTCTTTCGATAAAGTAACTTTGTAATTCTTTGTGATTCTTTGGAACTGAGAGCGAAAATTGCACAAAACGTAACTAGTATTTAATACTTATTATACTGTGTAATTTGCACAATATATAATTTATACATACTTGGATCATCGTGATTGCCATGAATTGAAAATACTGGAATTCCAACTTTGAAATTTTTATCTTCGTAATTAACTTTTTTTTGTTCGCAATGACTAAAAGCAACTTCTGGATCAGTGAGAAATTGAATTTTTACCTGCCTGAAGCAGCATACAAATTTTAAAGCTATCGCTAATAAAGCATATCTACATAGTTGTATGATGTGATATTTCATATTTACCTTTCATTTAAACAATATTTTCGCAATAAATTAATGCATTTCGTGACAACGTTATGTGAAGGTTTAGCTTCATGAAATAAATCGCCACCTAAAAGAATCATATCTACTTCATGTTCTTCTGCATACTGTAAAATTTCTTCAAAAGTTCTGAAACTGTCATCTTCTTGTACTAAAAGGGATACATTAATTAGTTTCATATAAATAATGTGAATAATCAAGATTAAGGAGGCTCTACACCAATCATAACAATAGTTCAGCGAGGCATCTATCTGTCTCTTTCTCGCATTAGGCAGACAACCGCTCGCACTATTCGAAATCAATGATTTTGTTTAATTACTCATTAGTTAATTCGTTAAGGGGTAATTTTTAACACACCAATTGAAAGCTTGGAACTTTCTCTTTCAGAAAATATATTTTTTATTAAGATGGTTGATCTTTTAAATTAGTTATGAACAATAAAAGACCGCGTCCCATAAGAGCCCGTGTTAAAATCGCGATTTTCAAACTTGTTTATCTCGAAAGTTAGTTCGTCAACCACATTTTTTTTGGAATCTCATTTTGAAAATCTAACAAATCGATTGATATAAGTTTTATCGTGTTGGATGATCTTTTGCATAATGTGTTGAGCCCCCTTAATATGCGTTGATCTAATTTTTTTAATGTAGATTTAAAAAGAGCGGAAATTTTTACGTTCGAATTTAACTTTTTTTTTAAGGTCATTTAGTGTCATTCTTTATATGAGCATTATCATAGATTAAATTGTGGTTATTTTTCGTACTAGAGTGACCTTAAGATGACTTACAATAGAAAACAACAGTTAAAATTTAAAATTCTGAGGATTGCAATACGTTAAAAATACACTGTTTAATTTGCTCTAATTTTTAGAAATTTTCCAATAATTGACAAAGAAATTTAAATTATTAAAAAAAAACAATATCGGGAGCCATGTTCACATTTCGGAATGATAAATATTCATAATTCCTAATATTTATCATTTCGAATTGTGACCATGGCTCACGCACGCACGTAGTAACAATTAGAAAGGGTATGTCCAGAAAAGTGGAGTTGGGGAATGACTCCGTGTATATAAAGATTATACAAGCGTATGTATAGTCAGTTCAGCTATCAGTCCCGAAGAATAGACAGCAAAGAAAAATTTCATCGACTACATCGAAGGATTTTGTGATTTTTAAAAAAGCTTAGCTTATATTAGCAATCGTGTTTGTGTGTGAAAGATGTACCTGCAGACAAGGGGATACATTCACGATAAGATCATGGATTCAGATTTTGAAGTCATCGACGGTAATTTTGACGTACACTCAAAATTATACCAACTGAAGCAGTTACTAAAAGGAGTGAATTGGCAGCTCGCAACGAAGCGACATCAATTTCTCTGTCGAATTGACCCTTTAATCGGCAATTGGGTAGATCAATTTCCAGACCCCCGCGAAATTTTTTGTACCGAACAAATTGAGCATCTGCTCTCGCATTCTACAGATTATTATTTTACTTGTGAAGATCGGTTTTTAGAATATGGAAGGAGAGGATTCATCGGGTTTGTAGCTCGCACCGGTTACAAAGACGAGCCCCGCCTTGATAAAGACGGCAAGCCACTTTTGCGTCGCACCACACCGATTCATCTTGCGGCTCAAAACAAAGACTATGACGTCGTCCCTGACCTTTTTACAATATATAATAGATTTGATCTCAATTACATACACGAACAGACCAATTTAACTCATTTTCAAATAGCGTGCATGGCTCCTTGTAAAGATGCTGTCAAAAAATTCCTCGAACTCGGTCAGGATCCGAATTGCACCTTGACAACAACTGGTGAATCGCCCCTACATTTGGTTCTGAATGTACATTTGGATTGTAAGGAAATTTTACAACTGCTACTGACCAACAGTGCCGATATGAATTTAGCAAATACAGAAGGATCGACGCCGTTGCACATTATTTGCCAGAAATACGGGGACGACGATGACCTGGCGAAAATGTTATTCAAGTTTAGCCAGAAAAAATATAATTCGGTGCACATTAGTGCTCAGGATAAGTTTGGCAATACACCATTGCAATTGGCTCTGCGCTGCGGCAACGAGAATTTGTCCAGATTGCTGACAACAAAAGATGCGATTCGAATTTGGCCGATAATGACGAAGGTGAGGATCGATTTGAAAGCCAGAAAAGTTCCAAAAAGGCTCCAAAAAGGCCAAAATCGTAGGAACATAAATTGTACAAAAATTTCATAAAATTCAAATAAATAAATAAATAAATAAATGAATAAATAAAATTAAATGCATTAATTAGTTTGGATTTTAATTTATGTATTTTAATTATATTTCAGTTTTATTTATGAATATCTTACATAGAAATTCGACATTGTGCACCTATTCGAAAGGGCCTAATTATTTTACAGCACTAATTTGTACAGTACTAGGTTGTTTAATAAAAGAAAATATTTCGAAAAACACAGATAGCAGCCTTTTTCAATACTCAGCGAGCCGTCACTGTTGTTTTTTAGATCATATTACAAAGTACAAGAAAGAAAGAAATGCTCCTTATTGGTCCATCAATCAAATAGAAAACAAATATCTTACAAAATGTCTATGAAACTGTTTATAAGATAATTACATAAATTTGAAGAAAAGTCTCAACTATTTTATGTCACTATTAATCTTAATAAGTTTTGTCAAAAGCGAACAAAATCTACTAGCTTGTACTAAACTTTTTGGCGTTTTACAGTTATTATCAGGACAATTTTTTAATAAAACATTACCAGCAGCAATTTATTGATATTATTATGTTAAACTCTGGTATAAAGTGATTTAAGGGGTCCAAAAAATATGCACAAGTTTTGTTATATCCAAACATTGTGGGCTTTCATGTAACTTTTAATGGTGCAACGGGCAGATATGAGTTTAAAAAGAAAAAACTTATTCAACTGCTACTCTTTCCTTACAGTAATAAATGTGAACAGCACTGTAAACATTGTCCTGTAACACATTGTCAAAGAATGAAAACTGTATTAAAGCACACGTTGACAGGTCCGTAAGGACGAACGTATAATTTTTTTCATTGCAGAAGTTTTGAAAAATAGTATGTCATTGGAATAAATGTATTAGGTTTAACTGTCCTGTTTCTATGCTTCTTAGGCAGGCACTAATAAGTTAGCCAGGTAAAATTTTTTCAAAGTTTTATTCATGCACCTTTGGTTAGATAATTATTCATCAATCTTGTTTAATATTGTGTTTTATTAGTTTTAATCTATAATCAATCTTAGACCATGATGTACCATGTAAAATATCTGATTACTTACGATCATGATTTTAGAAGATATTAAAGCTAAAATTTACATATATATTTCATTATCAAAGGTGCAACTTTGTTTTGAGACTCATATGAAAAAATAATTTGAGTGATTGATTGTAAAAATCACTACGGTATCTAATTATTGATGCATTGATGCATGTAGTAAATATAAGTTGTAAAGTTGTCTTACATTTAAATACTATACACTAGGCATGCAATTTCAAAAACAATGCAAACAACTTTGTTCATATAAAAATATGGAATTTAGTATAATTTGGAAAAATTCAAATCAATCTTAAAAGAACAGAACTAGTGGCTACAACAATGCATACATTAAGTATTAGTGACAAACCTCTTTTTGTTGTTTGTTCATAACCTAAATGAAGATCTGTAGCAACAAGAATTTTCATAACGTCTTTTTCATCCAAACTTTCATCATTTAACTTTTCTGGACTTTCATTTTTAGAATTATTTTCATTACTAAAGGACTCTTCTTCGTCACTGCTACCCATTTTGTTTTTATTCATGTTTAAATGAATTAATATTCAATGTTATATCAAAAATCAAAAACAGGAATGGTTTGATTTAGAACAACCGCGCCAAACTTGTTAAGTGACAGTAGTCTCAAGCTTCTTGTGAAAGGAGAACACAAAATAAGGAATACGAAGGAAACTCAAATTTATATGGTGCTTTTATTTATCTTTGAAATGCACTCAAGTTTGATTGTTATTTATTGGCTGAACGGAAAAAGAGCTGAGACTCCTGATTACAGATTTAGATGAAGCTCTTCAAATTAACATTGAAATCGAAATTTCTTTCAAATATTATTTTCGAACGTGTTCCTTCATTCCTATTCCTTAATTGTGAGACGGATCGACGTTGTTATTTGTTATTATTGTCTACCTTAACGTTTTTGACAGTAGCTATATTAAACACCTTGTAGATATATAGTCATGTATCTTATTGCCAATAATTTTTGAGAGCTGCAAAAATGTAAAGATTGCTCCTTTAAACAGTTTTTCGTAAATGAAATAAAATATTCTTACTCGCGTCTGAAGTACATCATGGCTTACTTACGTCAACCTGAATATGTACAATATTCCTGCAGTTGTGGATCCCTAAAAAGTATTTCAAAAATCTACTTTTGTAGGCATTGTTTAAGTATTAGATGCGGATTTTGTGTATGCCATGAGGTATGTATTTATAAATTCCATTACAATTGAGTATAAATTTATTGATGTGTATATATTTATAATTTTTATTTCGTATCAAATAGGTTGACTCGTATTACTGTCCTAATTGTTTAGAAAATTTGCCAACTTCAGAAGTGAGACTAAAGAAGAATAAGTAAGTATTTTCAGTTTACACACAATATAATAATGTTTTAATTCATTTAACTTTATCAAAGATAAACAATTTGCAAAAATTTATCAGACCTAAAAATAAAAATGTCTAAAGACTATACAAAATTTAATCTAACACAATTTGCTAGAAATTATAATAACTTAAATAAAAACTTTCGAAACTAATTAATAATACCAAAGTTAACATAAATAATTGTTTGATTAGGTGCTCTAATTGTTTTGACTGCCCATGCTGCTTACAAACCTTATCAATTCGATTGGGACAAAGTTTCTCAGTATCATCTCAATCAAAATCTGAAGAAGAATCTAAACCAACTACAAAGAAGGTTTATTATTTAAGTTGTTCGCTTTGTCGATGGAGTTCAAGAGATGCGGGCATTCCAGACCAGACTGTTGGTAAGATAAATGAAATTTATATTTAATTAAAACATTCAATAATTCTTGGTTTCTATTAAATTTAGCCACGGGCAGTTGGAAAGAACAAGAAAATCCATATTCAAATAGAGTTAATGCACTTATCAATTATTACAAAATATTAGCTTCATTTGAAAAACAACAAAAAGAAAGGAAAAAGTTCCACATTAAACGTTCATTTTTACAATTTGTAGGTATTTTTTCAAAGTATTTGAAATTTGGTTATTTTTTTTAATATATAATTGTGCCTAGTAATTGTTATTTATAACTTTGCTTTCATTTAATGTATAGGAAAAATTTGGAATTACATCTGCTATGGCTCGGAAACGATCTGGTCGACCTCCACTAACTCAAGCCCAAAATCAAACAGTCACTACACCAACCCCTTCAGTAGCTGAAGAAAATGTGGATGAATCTTTATCTGATTTATTTACTAAATCAATAGATATAACAAGAAGTAAGTTACTTGTTTCATGATTAATTATAAATTTACCAGTTCAAAAATATCAAACTCATTTTTTTCTTTCTAAATTTCAAAATTAAAATTATATAAATTTGAGATACCTAAAAATTATTTTTCAATTTATATATTATTGTCAAAGCTTGAAAAATAACAATTATGTTTAAAACAATTTAAACACTTTCAGAAATAAAAATTTTGATAATGTATTTTATTTCCTTAGCTACTACAATAGATCAGCGTTTGCAGCATCCAGAACTACAAGCTGATACCATTGATAAATTAAGACCTCAAAGAAAACAATTTATAATTAAAAGATCCCAAAGATGTAGGACATGTGAACACAATGTTAGTAAACCTGATTATTGTTCTACATCAACAAAATTTAAAATTCAATTAGCAGCTTAGTAAGTGTTTTGCTTTTTTTTGTTGACTCTGATAATTATTAGTAATTTACATGAAATAAATATAATTATAGTTATCACCTACCAGAAGTTCGTATTGTTACATATGAACCACTTCAATTTGGAAAGTCAAGTGAACTACTTTTAAAACTATCTAATCCAACTCAGCATCAAATGCAAATTACGTTTTTATCTTTGGAAACACCAGTTGTAACAACTACAAAAGTACAAGGAGTAGTAGAAGAAATTAATAAAGAAAGGATTCAAATGGTACTTATTTTTTTTTTTGATTATTCAACATTTTTATTACTCTCATAATGTAATTTAGGGTTGTGACTCTCCAAATCTATTACCTTCTGCAATTCGTCAAACAGCAGTCATTGAAGAAGTAAAACCAATTATTGTTGTTCCAAATGGTGAAATATTATTACCAAATTCATCATTCACATTACCTCAGAAAGATGAAACTGCTGAGTATGATGAACTTAATGAAACTCAGAACTTCCAAGATGATCCCAAGTAATTATTCAAATTTTAATTGAAACACGTAATTAAAGTATAAATTATAGTCATTTTCAAATTATATTTTTATTATTAAAACATTTTTCAGGGTAGTTGTTTGGAGAAGAGGTAACAAGTTAATAATACGCTTACATGTTTTGCCAGATGTTACCAAAAGTTCAGGTGACATGCCTGAGACTGTAATAGTTGGTTTTGTAATGCAATTCAGTTATATCAATACAATTGCAACTTTAGAACATAAAACTCCACAAAAGCTTGATTTGAGAGTTAAATTATACTTAACTCTTGATAATTCAAGTAAAATTGCAAGAACTGCGTCTATGTTGAAATGAAATAGAAGCAACAAATCTTTTTTAGTGGAAAAAAATATAGCACAATCTGATTGAAGAATGATACTTACAATGTATTTTTAAATTTCATGTGCAAGTGAATATTCTTTTTATTTTGCAACATTTTATTTTTGAGATAAAAATTTTTTTCATTAATTAAAGAAGACAATCAAATTTTTATTAATGATAATACCAAAATTTAGTATTGTTTTATTATAACTAATGATCTAATTTTCGTACAGTAAAGGTTTATTAATCAGCATTGATTGACTTATAAATTCAGAGAGACTCAATGAATTGAAAGAGTTCAAACTGAATAATTTTTTACAGATAATTATAATTTGTTTTAAAATGAGTAAATATATTATAACATTTGAAAAATTTAATAATAATAGAATTTTTATATATGTATCAATTCAGACATATTTAATGTTAAAGAATGCAATAAATCATTATGCTTCATACAAATATAATTTTTTTTTTTATTAAATTTTCATACTATACACTGAAATTTTTTGACAATTTTTTGATTTGATGACAAGTAATGCAATATAAAAAATATTTCTCTTAGAATTTAATGACTATGACTTCAATATACTCAATATTTAATGAAAACCTAGTTGATTATAAGAAAATTTTCCAACTTTTATTGAATTATATCTGGAGTTTATCAACCAAGAATATTTTCACTTTATAAGCGCAAGAATGTTAATCGTTCGTTCGAAAAAATCATAATTTGAAAGAGCAAAAAAGTAATTTAAAATGTTTCATCCTACAATCAATTTCATAAAGTTTGGCATAAATATAAACAATAATTTTTTTTATAAGAAAAAGTCGTAAATTTAATTGAAATAATTAAGGTTTCATAATTATATCAAGAAATGATGAACAATGACTTTGAATTAAAAACCTTTTAAAATAAAAGTGCGAAATTAATAGTTTTTAGAAAATAATTACAAAGAAGGCACTATAATGGGGTGGATTTGATGTGATTCAGCATTCATTAACTGGCATGCATAATTCAAGTTGATTATCTAATGTTTCATGAATTATCAATACGATGAAGTATGTATAGGGCATGGTTCTCTATTTACTCTTAACCTTATAACTTTCTTCCTTCTCGCGAGCCTATGAAAAACCGATTAACAATGTTTTGAATGACTTGAATATGGGGCAAAAAAATAAGCACTCATTTCTTTCGGATATTCTCAATCGTCTTTCAAATACTCCAATTTGTTTACGAGGATGTCTCACAGTATCGCACCAGAGTAAAAGTGCCCAACGTTACTTACGCAGCCACGCATCGATAGATTATGAAAAGCGATATCACCAACGGCATCACGTTTACATTATTCATCCATTCAGTTTATTTAGGTACCCAAGAATCTTGATTATTCTTTGTATCATAGCGTCTGATTATTATAAGACAAATAATGTTTACAGGCAATGGTGGAATATTTTCATTATTGTATTAATTCTGTACAATATGATCAATTTTCCGTACCAAGCAGGGTTTAACATGAACAGGGATAATTTTTCATGGACCATTCAAAAAAACTTTCTGCTTTTCATATGTTGCTGCGATATATTGGTCAATTTTTTCACTGGGTTAGCATAAAAACATAATTCGAGACGATCATTAAAAAAGTATAATGATTCAATGGTTTTTTTCAACAGATATTTTGATAAAGCTCAAAACGTGGTTGAATTGGAATGGAAAAAGATAGCGATGCACTACGTTAAAACAAGATTCGTATTGGATTTTATTGGATCTTTTCCTACTGATTTGATGTTCATTCATTGCTGGGAGGAATGCATCGTTATCAGAGAGATTTTTTCGTTGCTATTTGTCTTTCGCGTTTGTTCTTGTTCAAATTACTTCGGCGGCTTAATAAGGGACTGTGAATCACGACACGCGTTGTACGATTTCATGAGTTCGCTCTTTTGGTTATTGATAATATTGCACTGGCAAGCCTGTCTCTATTGGATTATTCCGGTATTGGTCAAGTCGCGTACTATACCGCAGCGTCCCAATAACGATTCGTGGATCAATTCAATCAATCTTTGGGAAAATGACAACAACGCCAATAAATACGGTCACTGTTTTCTGAGAGCTGTCGTGACTTTCATGCATTCGGGTTTTTTGGCCCAAACCGAACCAAAGAACGAAGAGGATCAGTACTTGGTAGCAATGGGCTAGAAAATATTTATTTTTCATCAATTGAATTTTCATTTGGAAAACTGATAATCTGACTGGTATTCTTCCAGGTTATTGCGTTCTATTACATAGGAGTTCTCATATTTTGTTTGCTCGTTGCCCGAGTAATGCAATTTTTCAAAGGAGCTAACTCCTCGAAACTGAAGTATCAAGCGGCCATAGCTCACTTATCGCAGTATATGAATCACAAGCAATTGCCACGCAGAATGCGAAAGAGATTAGTCGACTATTACGAGTTCAGATTTCAGAGGAGGTTTTTCCGAGAGCCTGAAATATTGAGTGTTTTATCCGCTCATATGCGGCAAGAAATAAGGATGCACTCCTGCCGCAAATTGGTGGAGAATGTTACATTTTTCAATAATTTACCCATCTCTTTGTTATCGAAAATTGTGGCTCTACTGAAGTCGGAAATTTTTCTCGTCAATGATGTTATTGTGAAGGCAAATCAAACCGGTAATTGTATGTACTTTATAGCCACCGGAACAGTGGCAATATACACGTCCTCGGGAAAAGAAGTCTGTCATTTAACCGATGGATCGCATTTTGGAGAAATAGCTCTAATCATGCCGGATTCTAAACGAGTCGCCAGTGTCGTTGCGATTGAAATTTGCAAACTTTATAAACTGGAGAGGGCCGATTTTTCGAGGACTATTCATCCATATCCAATGCTGTGGAATCGAATAAAGAAAATAGCGATTGAAAGGCACGAAAAAACAACGATATTAAATAAGCAATGAATTTTTAATGTAACCATAATAAGTTATTTTACTTCTATGATGTCAAATGAAGATACCGGACATGTTTTGATAAAAATAAACTTAATCGTAAAAATTGTTTGACATCCAAAAGTGCTATTTATTGTCGATACTAGATGTCACTGCCATTGAAAATATAGTTGTATAAGACATTCGTAACTGAATCATATATCTCTTTCATACATAATTTACACTTTTATTATTAAAAGTAACATTCATGCGAATTTCACATAATACCTTTCAGTTGGTATTAAATAAATGATATTAATTGGATGTGCTTTATATTCGATGCGTCATTTGTCAAAAATTTATGCCATCAACTATAAATTAAAAATAGTTTTCATCTACTAAAAATAATTACACTATATATCAATAAAAAATGATTTTTAATCAGTCTCATATCGGATCATGGATATAGTTAATGCAACTGTTGGATATAGAGAACTATATACGCGCACACATGAGTGATTTTATTGAAATGACAAGTCAATCCATCGGGTTTCCATTAGTTGTCAGCCGTTGTGGCGGCGGTGTGTACAAATTGCATCCTTCGGCGCAACACAAAGTCAAAATTAGCTTCGGATCCGCCGCTAATGTTTACTCCATGAATGAGCTTTCGATTCATTTCTATTTGTTGCTGCTCCGCTACTGCCGTTTCCCTCTCCTCTCCTCTTTATATGTAAAACCCCGCCTTTCCAGTTGGCAATTCACGTAGTCGCAGCATTATTATTAATCTCCCTTTGAAGTGGCGTGTTTGCTTATTAATACGCATAGGTCCCTACTCTCTCATTCCCTTCCTCTCGCTTCTCTCTCCCTCTTTCTCTCTCCCTCTCTCTTTCATTCTCATTCTCTTACAGCATTTGCGTATGATTGATTTAAACATCTACATAGTACCGAGTGGTTGGTACGTACGCCTGGCGCCTTCCAATATTTCGACAGATACAAATGAATCTGCATCGCTCGATGTTCATGTAATCCTTTCAAGGAAGTTTTTCGTTCGAAAATTTCGGTTAAGCTATACAAATAGATAAGGTAAATTTTCAATCATTCTTTACTTACGAGTTGATGCACGTTAACAATTCCACCGAGGAAAATTTATATTCTTTCATATTTTTCTAATTGTATTGAAAAAATACAATGCTAGAATAATGATGAAAAATAAGTTCAAATAAATTGTTCGGAAATCTATGATTTTTTTACTTGCAAAGAAAGTGATGGATTTAAAAGTAAATCATTTTAGATTGGCAACAAAGTTAATGGTTTCTAAACCATGATGCTTCAACTTATACAATTATTTTTATTGTGCCACTTGCAGATTTACCAATAAAGGTACACGCCATCTAGTATGTCAAATAAGAAATTAAAATGTAGTAATTCGCAAAGAATAATCATATTTATCTTGCATCGAAATCACTGGAGCTGTTGGACGAAGTCGCTTTAAAAGTTATTGCGAATTAATTGTTGCTATAAATCAATTAACTTCAATAATTTTATGAAAGTCTTATCTCTATATGAAATAAAAATATTTGACTTAATTAGTTATTTTGAGCCTTGATAGTTTTAATTTGATTAAGAGGATAATAATAATAATAAAATAAGATCAAAATAGACCAAGGAATATCATTTCAAGGACGTCAGGACATAGATACCAAGTTGATTAGCGAGCTCTATTTTAGTTTGAACCATATCAAAGGGAGGAGAAGAGAAACGGGAGATAGAGAGAACGAGAGTGAAAATGAAAATGAGAATGAGCGATAGGAAAACAGCGGATTTGAGAGCTTTTAAAGTTGAGGGTTGAGCTAGTAATTACTTCCGCTCGTGAAAAGTGGAGCTTTTAATTCGGAACGCCGTTAAGGCTGAGGGCAACCGCAGATACCCAAGCGTAGTATACACGTTCTTAACAATTATGCTGCTTAAGAAGAGAGAAAACAACGAGCCGAGTCATCGAATCTCCTCACTGTTTCACTGTATAATACCGTTCTTCGGGGCTCACTCGACGAATTAATGCGCCACTGCCGCCGTCGGAACGTAAATTTCTGCTCGTGCGCATTATACTCCTACTTTGTGTATCACACCGACGGCTTTTAAAGGGCGGACGATAGCGCGGCGGTTTGCTTTGCCTCTGCCTTGCCTCTACCCTTTACCTCGTCAACCCTCGTCTTTTGAAACAAGCACACAGATCCACAAAAGATGAGTCCTTCGGAACGCCCCTTTTTGGTTAGTCGTATTTAGCTAAATGTTACTATTACAGAATTTATTTTTTTTTTTGCACTCTGTATTAAATAATTACTTCAACAAAAATGTTTTGCCGTTATTGAAGTTGTTAAAAGTTTAATAATTGTAATGCAGAGAAAGTATGATGTATTGCTCGAAAATTTTTCAGTCATCAAATGACAACACGTTTTTACAATAACTAAAATTTACATATAATTACGAAAGCTTGGAAATTTAGAACCAGTTGCTTGTTTATGCCAGTTTTTAATTTACATTACTCTCGATGCTTTTAGAATATCAAAAGAATGTCTCGACAGAAGCAAAAAAAAAAAAAATAGCCTCAGCAGCCTTCCTGACTCATTTTTGTTTCCATAAAGTGCGGAACCAAGAATAACAGCGGCATCAGCCCCTGTATAGAATATATAGTAGCAACAGCAGAAGCTTCTAGATAAAAGTAATAGTTGCAGCAGCAGCTGGAGGCTATACATATACGCGCAAGCAACCGCAGATTCATCAAGTAACTTCGTTTCGGAGTTGCGGAGCGTCGCGCGCGCGGGTACGCGGATGAGCGTCGTGCTGCTGCAAGGAGTATGCGCGCGAGCAAGGCGCAGATAAAGCATTAGTCGCATCGCTAACTGCCAAATCAGTCACAGTTGGCTACGTAGTTTCCGCCATCAAACGGAAAACGCCTCGCGCAAACATACCCTTGTTGATGTGTGTGTGTGTGTGTGTGTGTGTGTGGGTGTGGGTGTATACGTGTATGCACGCGTATTAGCGTTAGTTTACAAACTAAGCTCAACTGTTTCTCTATTGAGGGTGATAGTAGAGAGGGAGAAAGCAGCATAGAGAGAGAGAGAGAGAGAGCTTGTGGATTTAGTCAAAGTTCCTTGGGTCGTATAGAGAAAGACATTGCCTGCAGAACTGCAGATTTACTTCCGAGGCACAAGTCTATACATGTGTTTACAACAGTATACTGTAACTACGCTGCGTATGCACGTGTACACATATATCTTATCTCGAGTTTTACGTTTGATATTTGCTCGACATAAGAGCGTTACCCTAGGGTCATCAATTTTACCTCGAATTTAAATGATATACTTTTAATTACTAATTAATTCGTTCAGTTATCATTGTGTTTGTCTAAAATCTTTTGACATAATGTTATGCGATTCATTATTAATGGAGATGTATAGAATCTCGTGTAGTTTAAAAAGAGATTACGTGCAAAAAATTCAACATTTGACCATTTCGATCATAATAACATGTGACTGTAGATTAATGAATTACTAATAATGTAATATACAATTTATATAGATTTGATTACAAGTAAAACAGTATAATTTTGCACAATTTATAACTTCAATCCACGAAGTAAAAATGAAACAAACTCTCCATAGCTTTGATCACTTCAAATGTAAAGAAACGATCTTAAGTAATAAGTTCATGCAGAATAACAATTTTTCTGAAAAAAAAAAGAAACAGAAAAAACGGTCAGAGCTGCACAAAGTAAGGTTCAAATAAAGCACGAGAGAAAGAGAATAAAAGCAGTCTTAGTGATTGAATGAACGACGCTTCGATCAGATGTAGCTTACTGATATCATTGGACACGCCGATCGTGCGACTCCCTTTTTCCCAACAACCGTCTGGAATACTCGAGTCTGTTGAATCAATGAAAGGAGGGTAAAATGGAGATGAATAAAGCAGCACAGCAAATGAGTAAGTATTAACAAGCAAAGGTAATTGATCCTTTTGAAGATTTCTTTTAATGAAAAACAAACCTTTTCAGCTCAAACATTTTAAATTCAGCTGATTTGACTTCACGAAATTGTCTGATTATTCATTGCTTGCGTCGACTAATTTCAACATTTAATGTCAACTTCATGCATTATCTTTATTAAAATTAATCATTTCTTCGCTTTACTCATAATTTCGATGACAATAAGGTAATGTATTGTAATGAATCATTATCGTACATTTGTGTGCTAATAATGTTGAACTGAAGAAATTCGGTAATAATAAATTTAAATGAAACGATAATAGAAATATTTAATTCTTTCTTTTATCATCCGATTAAAATAAAAAAAAAACACGATTCTTTCATTTACTTGAGCTCCTGTGATGGATATACAGCGTAAATACTAACTGAACTCATTGCATAGATTCGCAATGTCAATAGGCTCAATTTCCCTTTCAAGTTGTCAACTCTTTTTGTGTGCTCGGCAAATTGTCGCCAAGGGTACGCTTTGGGGCTTGCCCGCTTGAGGGGGGAAGAGGTCAAATTAACATTATTGTTGTGACAAAGACGATGGCGACGAGTTGCGTGCACGCGAGCAGGGGCCCGTTCGCCGCCAACTCGACCCGCGGGACTTCAGTCAACGCTGTGTGCGGCTCAGGACAAAACTTGACTGGGAGACAGATAGAGATTCTTCGCTGAGCAAACAATTCCGCTTGATGATCAACTCGTTTGATGTAGGTTGATTAACTTTGGCAAACAATTGCTCTGAATATACAAGTCGCGGAGCATTTTCGTGCAAGTTTACTGCCACCCTATGAGATTTCAAGACGTAAAAATAGAAAGAGAGGCTTTGTGTAATTTCAACTAAAAAATTGATTAATTACCTTTTGGAGAGATACGTTTCGACTTTAACTTTAAGTACATGAATTTTAACAATAATTCATCAGTAAAGGTTCCTTCAAAATCGTTATAAAAATATAGAAATTTATTTTCAAATTTTAAATTGTGTCGCGGGGAAAATTAAAAAATATTATGATATAGTTTTGTGACTGCATGAAATATTTAAACAAAAGTTTCAGAAAATCCATTATTTCATTCGTTCCAAGGAATAATAATATTTGATCATCCGCAAGAAAGCTGCATCGCCAGCTTTAATCGCAATTGATTGCATCATTTTATTTCTTCTACCGCGGTACCCTACAATGTTGCGAGCAATTAGATTTAAGAATCTCGCGAGGGGTTATAATTTACAGAAAAAAATGCAAGATTGAGACGATCAATTTTTCAAAAGTCCGCACAAAAATAGTCGCTGCTACACGTACGGACTACGGCGTAGTGCAGCAAATCGAGGCGCGCAATGCCAAGTGCGCACAGTTACAAAGGCAGTAAAGCGCGCGCGCGCCTAGCCAGCCACATTTATGAGCGGGTAAGTAATCTCTCGCGAATAACGTCTTCGATTGCAAGTTTCGCATTAATACTTATTGCTCATTAAGCGCGAAACGGTGGTATATATGTGCGTATGCGCACGAAAGCGCGCGACTTATATTATATGCGGCCGCGCGCGTGCTCGGATCGCTGGGCAGGGTAGCAAGTCGAGGATAGAGCGTGCTGCAGTTGCTAACTCTTTCTCTCTCCGCGCGCGCGGCTGTCTCGCTCCCTCTCGCGAATGCACAACAACGGCAGCGAGAAAAGCAAAAGAGGGATTTTTTTCTCGAAAAATGCGCGCAACGAAGCTTCTCTCTCTCTCTCTCCTCGTGCGTTGCATGACGACTGCCGCAGCGCGCGTGGATATGTATGCTATATGTATGCATGCTACGCCGTGCCATGTGCATATGTGCGTGCACATCGGCGAGTACAGTATGCGGTGGTGGCACGTAAAACCTGTTTCCGCGTCAACCGCTTGATCAATCTTGTTAATTAACACTCGGACCATGGCAAAGAGCCAGTTAGAGAGCCGCTCGTAGGAATTTTCATTGCAGGCCATCCTTCATCCATGCTGTATACTCGCGCGAGCGCATACAGCGCATACGTATATGCATACGTACGCACTCTAAATGTAGAGCGCGGCTCGTCCTGTTGCTGCCGTCTCACACACACAAACACACACACACACACACAATATTTAATGCGCGCGCTACAAAGATGTATACAACGTTTTAACAGTTGTGCGCGTTTTTTCGACGCAAACGACGGGCTGCTCGCTTTGAAAAGTTTGCGCGCCGTGCATATATACATGTACACACGCATAACGTATAGGCCGGGCTCGTATACGCGGCTCTCGTTTCGATACGCTTCGGGAGCCAACGAACTGCCCCTGGAATATCAACATTGTAGCATTTTTCGATTCGCACTTGAGAAAGAGAGAGAGAGAGAGAGAGAGAGATGCACACTGGCTCGAACAAAAAGGAAGAGTTTAATAATGTCGCTGCGTGTGCTGCGTTACACGCAGGCAGGGAGATGATAGTCGAGCGGGCGCGCGTAATACTTAGGACCGGCCGCAAGGCTTGTGTGCGTGATATCCCCGTGAATATACATACTCATATTATATACGCCTGTTTAAAGGCTTGTGGGCATACGCAAGCGGTATCGGCTAAGGGTGTAATTAGTGAACGTCGTATAGACTTTTATAGCGGCGTACGATGAATATTGATCTTGTTTAGCTTGTGACTTATATTGATTATTATTTTTGTTATTGTTTACTTCAAAGTAGTCACATTTAAACATTTTTTGTGATGCCTGTACTCGCTTGATAAAATAACGAAGAAAGCAATAATAATTTATGTTTATATCAATTCAAATGCATCTTCTAACAAAAGCTGAGAAACCTATGGATTTAACGAAAAGTTCGCCTTTATTTTGTTATCATGAATTTTTTTATTGAGTAAAAATTATGCGATGAAAAGCAGTGTGATTTATGACCTCTGTTTCAACTCAGATTGTACATGGAGAGTGTGGAGAGCAAGACAGAGAGAAAGAGAGAAATAGGTACTACGTAAACGAAAACCCGAGGATAAATTTGCAGCATAGGCTACATTTGCTTTGAGCATTTGTATACTTTTGCATGCGTATTATAACTGGGAGCAAAAAGTTCTCTCGTCCTCGATCGTCCTCGTCTTTGCTGCGCGGCTCAAGAGTTCGGCCGGCCTAATTAGTGTCTCTCCATGGCGATATCTGATTGGAAGAAAGCGCAATAAAGTGAGAGACGGCAATATAGAGGAAGTGGCATGAGGGGGAGGCCAACAATAGAGAGTCGGCGATGTCCAATCATAAAGAGATTCACCGCCAGTGCCGCCGCCACCGCCGTCCTGGCCGCGCGCTGTAATCTGAATAAAGTATATACTCGATCAGATCGATAGATAAGAAACAATGCTCTTTTCACCGTGAAAAGTCCTCGACTATGCCAATAGCTGCAGCAGATTTTGCAGGCTATATATGCACACACACACACACGCGAGTGCGCACTGCACTACGGCGCACAGTGGCAGTCGTAGCTGCAACAGCCGCAAAGACGGAGACCATTGCTCCCGTATTTCCCGCGACTTATTGCTCTTCCGCAGAGAGCGAGTAGCCACAGTCAACTATTCTCGGACTGGGACAAAACTCCGTTGATACCAGATCCCAGGGGCGACCACGTAGAAAACATTATTCCCATGGAATATTTTTGTTGTTTCTTGTGGAAAATGGTCGTCTGAATCCGAATCTGTGTAGTCCAGTAAAAACTATGTTGGAACGTACATGGGTTGCAAACAAGATGAAACCTACTATACTTTATGTTTTCGACCCTCAGGAATCTGAATCTGCAATTATTTTTTACCTACAACCCCGGCAACAGGGTGAAAATCGAGGGTGTAGGAGTTTTTCGCTTATATCTCGCGATCTACGTAAGATAACAGAAAATGGATTACGCCAATTGATTCCTCGTGAAATTTTACATCGATATGCACTATAACATTTTCAAGTGTCAGTGCAAAATTGTCGACAATATCGAAAAAACTAAAAAATTCTGTGCAGCGGTGGTGGGGGCCGACGGCGTAGAGATCGGCAGCCGCTAGGCGCAAGAGGGAAGGCGGCTGCTGGCTTGTTTACATCACGCGTGGCTCGCGTGGAGGCTCTCATCGGGCCGTGTTTCGACTTTGTTGTCTCTGTTGAATCTATAATAGTTTATATTAATGACAACCTTATAAGCGTCCAACATATATCTGAATATTTCGTACAGAGTGAGCTCTGTAAACGTACTAGCGTATACGAGTGAAGCAGTCGTTTAATCTGCTTTTGAACAACCTCTGTTACTTAACATATGTTACATATAAAACACAAGTAACCCAAGATAGAGAGAGAGAGAGAGAGAGAGAGAGAGAGAGAGAGAGAGAGAGAGAGAGAGAGAGAGAGAGTNGGGGTAGAACCCCATGTGGCCCATAAGAACAAATATACAAAAGTATAATACAGTCAATTGCAGAGCAATGGTGGTAATATTTACATATCGATCAGTAACAATATTTACAAGCAAAATTAACAATAGAAAGCTTGAGATCGAATGATAGCAAATTTCAAGTATTGAGAAATATTACATATTAGAGAATAATTGAAGGCAGAAAAATACATGAAAAAGACAGCTCAGCTCAACTGGGTACGTGAATAAAATCATGATTTCAAAGCCACTGCATTTAGATCTTCTTTAATGAGTATTGGTATGAGCTCCGACTGAGGTGATATACGCATGAAGACAGTCAAATTTCGGACGATTGGGCTGGGATACTGGTGATGACGAGATAGCGATTTGGCTTCACGAAGCAGATGATATACATTTTTGGGCCATAAAAGACTCAGAGAAAGATGGGATTCACCGCCAGTATCAAACAGATCCTTATTTCCTATTCTTGCCAGCCTATGTGATTGAGCAACAAGGCCATCGCGCACAATCGATGAAGAGCACTGGAAAACGATGGCACGAGTGCGTTCCTTGACAGAGCGTGGGTTCCTTGGTTTCCAGCTTCGAGTCCCAGTAATGAATCGCTCGTGATGTTTTAAACCCATAGTTGAAAAAGTCTTTTCAAGGACCTTGTCGTCGGAGAGCTCTAGGCCAGATGGCACGCCAGACAATAGCATTTCGCACTGGTCAGTCTGCAGTGAGCAAGGTGCAATAAATCCAGGAATTTTGCCTATAAATTCAGAGCACTCTGCCGTGGCGACTTTCAAATTTTCAAGATCCTTTTTTATTGGCGATTCAGAAAGAGTAGATGACTTGACTTCCTGTTCCGAAACACGACGGTCGAGATCTTTAACCGACGCACACAAGCTTTCAACCTTATCCATAAGGCGATCCATAATTCCATACATTTTATCGACCAATTTTTGGTTTGCCATATCGACATATTTGATAATGTGCTCGGTTTCGCCTTGAAAAGTTGCAGGGCACGACGTGTCCGACTGAGACNACGCGACCCCCAGACGACGAAGCCGCGCTTGTAGGTTTCTTTATCCGCGTGTGGAACTTCCAGCACCTCGCGCGCAGCGCTCCTCAGTGCGCGACTCGTCGGCGCTCGTCTAGTGAAAAGCTCACGCAAATAGCTCGGGTTCTCTTGGCGCAATACTCGATGCATCTGCACGGCGACGAAGTAACCTCGTCTCGAGGACGGGGTGAGCCATCCTAGGGTCCGTTGATATGGCAGCATTCGGGCGTCGCGACGAAGGCCGAACACAAATCGAATGGCAGTGTTCAGCAGGCGGCGCATTTTAGTTTCCAGTTCATCTGTCAGGACCGGAAAAACAGCGCAGGCGTAATCGAACTGCGGCAGCACCAACGCAGAGGCCAGAAGACGCCGTGGACGCGAGAAGACACCGCACCAATCTGGCTGTCCCAAGACAGATTCTGCTGAATCATGAGGCCCAAATTGCGGATCCTGCTCTGGTATGGCACAACTTCACCGCTCAAAACAATCGGCACACGTGGGCCGTACGGGAAGCGCATTCGTCGCTGATCAGAGGCAATGATCATAGCCTGGGTTTTTGGCACGCTAAGCAACAGGCCACAGCGTGTCGCCCACTCAGCAACGGCCTGAACGTCGCTGTTTATCCTGGCTGCAATGAGATCCAGGTCCTCGGGTGGGCCGGACAGGTAGATCTGCAGGTCATCCGCGAAGAGCATGCAGGACGAGTCACAGTGCCGCAACGCACCGATGACTGAGTCGATGAAGGCAGCAAAGAAAATCGGCACTGGAGATGATCCTTGTGGTACACCAGACGTCAAAGGCAGGAAGTCGGAGGCGGGGCCATCACGACCAGCCACAGCTTGAGATCGGTCGCTGAGGTAGGAGTGTGCAAAGCGCAGTGCATCAGCCGTGAAACCCAACTCATGCAGCCTCCTCAAAAGCACAGTGTGATCAAGCGTGTCGAATGCGCACTTGAAATCGAATAGCACACTGATCGTCATATGCCCATCCTCGACTGCTCTTCGGGCGTCCTCGACGACCCTCAACAGTGCCGTCTGGGTGCTGTAGCCCCTTCTGAATCCGGATTGCCTTGTTGACAACAGCCGGTTATCCTCCAGGTAGGCGACCATCTGCTCGGTGATAAGCCTATCACAAGCCCTGGCCAAGTGGGGCAGGTTGGCTATCGGTCGTGTCTGCGCGGGCGAAAGCGGCCGGGGCACTTTGCTGAGCGGAACAATTGTTGATCGCTTCCAGAGCGTGGGATACTTGCCAGCGGCAATAGAAGCATTAAAAATGCGCGGCAGGAAAGGCGCAATTATAGTGTACGAATGCTCCAGGTATCTCAAGGACACACCATCGCAGCTGCTACCGCGAGCGATATGTCCCACGTGCAGCAGAGCCTTGAGTACCTGCGCCTCTGTCACCTCGATGAGCCGAAACTCGCACTCGAGAGCACGACCAGGCTCATTGAATATGGCTTCGAGGATATCAGTGGGGCACAGTGGATGACGAACGCTGATTGACTGATAATGTCGCATGAGATCATCCGCCGGGAAGTAGTCAAGCGGCGACGGATTCGGCGCATCAACGAGGCCCAAGCGTCGGAGACACGCCCAGCGCTGTGTATAATCAGAGCATGACGCAAGGCCATCGCGCAGGTAGTGCTCTCTGGCGAGCTCGATATCGCGCTTAAGCTCCTTTCGCAGACAGCGATATCGATAAAGCAGGTCTCGGCTGCCCCGCCGCCTCGCGTCCCTGTACATTCTATCACGCTCATTACACCTCGCACGCAGTGCTGGCGGGAACCACGGGGCTGATGCTCTTCGTTTCCGAGACAGGCCAATGGGAGCATGCTCGTCGAGCAATTCGAGCACAGAAGAATTGAACTCGTGACGCAGTACATCCGGGTTGTCACAGTGGGAAAGAGACACTGAGAGAGTCGAGAGGTGAGTGCTTAATTGGCAATTGAACAATAATTTATTGAATTTCGAGAAATTACGCGACAGGCGGGGTTCAAGCACCACGGCAGATGAGCCCACAAAATAATCAAAACAAAAATAGTCATGCCCATGGATGAACGGTGCAGAGGACTTTGTATAATTCCGGACTCTTGAAAGGGAGTCCACGAACGCCAGGTCAATCCAAGTGTCGGTGAAAGCGGTGTGATGCGTCGGCTTGGACGGGACCACTCCAATGAGCATTCACCGGTGAGCGCTCTCAAGTTCCTGGCCTCATCACTCTGCGTGAGCATATTTGCATTGAAGTCGCCAACAAATACAAAGTGGTCAAATGATTGACAAATCGATTGGTAGTAGTCAAATAGCTCAGTGCAGTAATTACCATGTGGGTGGCGGTAGACGGAGGTAAGCAATAATTTCTTAGCTCTGAACTTCAATTCAATTGCCAGGACCTCATTTTCATCGATGCAGGAAATGTTAGGGCTGTAGACGATCCTGGCTGGTAGATCGCTACGCAAATAACAAGCCACACCACCACCGAACACATAATCCTGGTTGGGATTCGGTGAGGGCAAGCCTCGGTCGTTACGGAATAATTTGTATCCAGGCACCTCCACCGCTCGCGAGTCGACATTCGGCGTGAGCCAGGTCTCGCAGACAGACAGTACATCGACCCGCAACTCGAGCATCTTGTCCTTGACAACCGCCATTTGCTTGCGCAGGGAGAATGCGTTGACCTGCATCACACGAAGTTGAGAGTGAAGCTCCCTTACGCTAGACTGCAAGTGCCGAAGCTTGGCCTGCAGTCATGCAATATTGGCCAGGTCGGCCCAGGTGACGATCTCGATGCGCTCTCCGTTGGCCGCCTTTCGCGCGAACAGTCGCCCGTCATCAGTCCATACCCATGCATATTTGTGTTCCCTACCACGCTCACATGCAGCCTGAAACAGCTTAAACACGGGTCCAGGCAGCAGCTCAATGAAGCGAATCTCGTCACTTGATCCTCCCGAAATGATATCGGGGACTTTGAGTTTTCCGTGGTGGCGTTTACGTCTCATAACGAAGGCTCGCGAGGCCGGCTGCTTGAATGTCGCTACAAAGGAGAATGTAGGTGCATGTGCATCGCCGGAAGCGTCACGGGGCCGCCGGTCGTCGCCGAAGACTCTGAATTCGAGGACGTGTGACACGGTGATTGTGCCGAGCAGCTACTGACAGAGAAGCCAGACGAGCCGCCGCCAAGAGCCAGACCGAAATAAAACAATTCATGTGTCGCGCCGGATAAAGTTGTAAAAGAAGCCGCCAGAGCGCGCCGCGCCGAACACGTGATGCGTGTGAGTAGGAGGCCAAGCGCAGATTCACGTGTCGACCACGAGCGAGAGGACACGAGCGAGTTTTCGAGTGAGGTTCTGTGCCGAGTGAGTAGAGGCACGAGTGAGTTTTCCTGCCGAGTGAGTTTAGGCACGAGAGAGTAAGAGAGGAGTGAGGAAGAGTGAGTAATGAGAGTACGTGCGAGTACCGTGTGAGAATTGTGTGAGAGAAGCGAGAGTGCGTAGTGCAGTGAAGAGAGAGTATCGAGTTCCGTCGTGTGAAGTAGTGTCGCGTGTTAGAAAGCCGGCTACACGAGCTGAGACTCTGGTCTAAGACCGCCGTTCGCGACATCAACCAGAACTAATCACCGTTTCGACCCGAGCCAGACCATAGCCCAGCCGAGAGCTATTTCGCCAGAGCCGGATTGTAGTCATCCAATTTGTTTGGTACGGTAACATTATTTGTAAGGTGTGTGTGAGAGTGTGTATGCGAGTAATATAAAGCCGGTTCAGTTGCGCCTTTTCTTTTAATAAACATTTGGCATAATTATTTAAAAGTAAAATAAAAGAAAATTTTATTTATTTCACCCAATGTTGCCTTTCCTTTCCCTTCCATTTCTCGCGTAAACGGCCCAGTTCGAGTCCACGCATTCATCGTGCGGCGGTGGCAGGGCCTCGAAAAGCCACCGTGTCGCAGACGTCATCGAGTACCTGGGGGATTCCAAGCTGGTCCATCGCCGATCCAAAAAATTCTCGAAAAGCCTCAGGTGTGCGCTCGATCGCCGCGTCGGGCATGCCCCGTATGCGCAGCTCAGTGCTGGGACGCGCCGCCGTAACGATCGTCTTGATGTTGCTGATCTCGGACGACACCAGGGTCAGCGCAGACTGGTGCTCGTCAATCTTCCTGTTGGTAGTCGCGATGAGCGCTTCCACTGTGTCCAATCTAGTTGTCATGACGCGCATTAATGCGTCGTGTTGGGCTTTCTGCTCAGCGGCGCTTGCTATATTGGAGGGCTCGTCTTCTTCGCAATTATTTGGAGAGTCAGCAACACCTCTACGCGCGTCCAGAGCAAGAGAGCTAGACCCAGCCCTGCCAGCAACAACAGGCGAGTCGGGAGCAGCAAAGAAGTGGCTTGTCTTCTATTAGACGTAAAAGACACCTGGAGTGGTATAATTTCCCACACTGGGGGCAGAAAGCAGTTGCTAAAGCACCGGTAATATCTCTTATCCTTTTGCAACGTCCGCACGACACCATTGGCCAACGGTCAAAGCACCACACAAGCCGTTGCGACGTTCGACTCTTCAATTTAAATCAACCACACAATGTTTCTATGCCGCGACTCGGACACTGTATAGTCACTTTCACCACAAAGTCAAACGTCAACAACACAGCACTCAAGAAGCCATGCGGAGAAAAAGTAAACAAAGGCACTATTCCTTATTTCTTGAAGAGAGGTCCCCCTCTTTAGCTCTGCAGGTGATCTGCGCAGATCTCGCCGACGTCGACGGTTGATGATAATTATTTTTCTAACCTCGAAGGTGGTAATCCATGCAGATAATTCCTGTTTTTTTGAGAGTGCAAGAGTGGCTAAGCTCAGAGCTTGCGGCCACACCTTGCAAAAGAAGCCGCCCGAGGGCACAAAAAGCAGCAGTAATAGGTTCAAAGGCAGGAGCTCGAAAAGATGTGCGTGTTCACACTTACCAAGGAGAGAGAGAGAGAGATTGATTGATACACATTTTATTTCGCCTAGGCGTTTCCACCGTAAGGCTGAATTAGGGTATATACAAGGTAATTCACTGTAATACAACAATAAAATAATAAAACGAAGACATCATAAGTGCAACAAAGCAGAAGTGTAAGCAATGAGAATTATAAGAGTAAACAACAATAAAGTAACATGAGATTTAAAATGTAAAATACAAAGCAATATTATAACAATCGACGACAATCGATGACAGCTGAAACAAACATCAGGCCAAGCACGGCTCAATCCCTCGATGCGCACTAGATCACCGGAGCAGATGACATTTGAGGGCCGTCTTGAACACATCGATAGACTGGGTATTCACCAGGGTAAGTGGAAATGAATTCCATAGTCGCGCAGCTTGGATGGTAACGCCATGCTCATAGGTGCTGGTGTTGAAATCGTTTTCGGCGAGGTTCGGCCTGGTCGCGCTACGCAGGCTGTAGCCTACAGCAGCGCGAGGCGAGAGGAGGCCGGCGAGATAGGTCGGCCTGGCAGTCCGGAGCACTCTATGTGTGGTCGTACCCAAGAAGTAGCTTCGCCGCTGCGATGGAGTAAGCCAACCCAGTTCACGCCGACGGGGCGCAATAGCGGCATCACGTCGGAGATTGTAGACGAACCGTATGGTGGTATTTTGCAAGCGTTGCAATTTTTGCTTCAGTGTTGTCGTCAGGCCTATATAGACAATGCAGCCGTAGTCGAAGTGCGGCTGCACCAACGCCAAGACGAGCAGTCGCCTAACATCAACGGACAGCAGTCGCGAGTGGGCACGCAGACGATGGAGGACGCCATGGACCCGTGATGACAGCTGATTGACATGAGCCTTCCAAGACATATTTTGGGTAATTGTCATCCCAAGGTCGCGCACCCTCTCCTGGAATGGAACCGTAACTCCATCAATCCGGCATGTGCCTCTGGTCCGAAGCCACGACAATCGCCTGGGTCTTTGGAATACTCAACGCGAGGCCACAGTCCCGTGACCACCGCAGCACCGAGTCAGCATCAGCGTTGATCCTGGCAATAGCATCGTTCAACTTATCGGGTTCGCACGATAAGTAAATTTGAAGGTTATCGGTGAACAGCATTGCCGTAGTACGGCAGTGCTGGAGCGCATCAAGCAGTGAATCGATAAACATCGAGGACAAAACTGGCCCAGGCGACGATCCTTGTGGGACCCCTGACGTGCAGGTCCTGTATGTCGAGGTCTCGTCACCCTCGCCGACCACAGCCTGCCGGCGCTCACTCAGGAAAGAGTGCACAAGCCTGAGCGAGAGGTCCCCAAACCCAAGCTCGCGCAGGCGACGCAGCAGGACTGTGTGATCCAATGTGTCAAAAGCACACTTGAAGTCAAACAGTACAAGTACTGTCACAAGACTTTTGTCGATTGCCTGACGTATGTCCTCAGTGACCTTCAATAATGTAGTCTGCGTACTGTAGCCCGACCTGAATCCCGACTGCAGTGGTGACAACAAACTATTTTCTTCAAGGTAGGCCGAGATCTGAAGTGTGATCAACCTGTCGCAAGCACGAGCCAAATGCGGCAGGTTGGCGATGGGGCGAGTCTGCGCAGGGCTCAGAGGCTGAGCCACCTTGCTCACCGGTGTTATGGTAGACGTTCACCAAAGTGCAGCATAGCGTCCAGTCGAGATAGCGCTGTTGAAAATGTGAGTTATAAAAGGCGCAATGATCACCAGCGACTCAGACAGATACGTCAGGGAAATGCCGTCGCAGCTCCGTCCACGTGCGCCGCGCGCAATCCAGCGTAATGCCTCGAGCATCTGTATCACGGTGACCGGCCGAAAAGCAAATTCGGCGTCTCGACGCATCGGCGGTGTCGCAATAATCGCTTGAAGGGCATCCTCAGTGCATGCCGGGTGCGAGTTGTTAATGGTAGAGTAATGCGCCATAAGCTCTTCAGCTGAGAAGCGAGCCAGCGGGGACGGATGCGAGACTGACACGAGACCAAGTCTCTACATAAACGACCATCTCTGTGCATCATCCACACATGCAGCTATGCCTTCGCGCAGATACTGTTCGCGGGTCCGCTCGATGTCGCGTTTTATCCGTCTACGAAGCTCGCGGTATCGACCCAGCAGCACGGCGTTACAATTTCTGCGTGCACGCTTGTATAGTGAGTCGCGCTCACTGCATTGCGCACGAAGCGCAGGCGTGAACCACGGTGCAGGATTTCTTCGCTGCGTTCGCGACGTTAAAGCGGCATGCACATCCAAGAGTCCGACAACAACACCATTGAAACACGCAAGCAGGTCGTCAACATCCTCCTGAGAGCAATCAAGACGCTGAAGAGACGCCAACTCACCACCAAGTTGCTCATTGAATAAGCTATAATCAATGTTCTTGAAAGAGCGAGTTAAGTACGTCTTTGTTGTAGGCACCGCCGCAGCTACTGAGTAGTCGAAAAAAAAGTAGTCGTGTCCAGAGATGAATGGCACGTCGGATTTGGTGTAATTGGAAACAAGTGAGATGGAGTCGACAATGGCCAAATCGATCCATGTTCCAGCCTCGCTATCATGGTTAGTTGGCTCAGAGGGGATCAAATCCAAGGAACATTGCTGGATGTGAGAGCGCAACTCCTTCGTATGATACTCCTGTATCTCAGCCTGCATGTCAACGTTGAAGTCTCCGACCATCACTACATGGCCATATCTGTGACAGACAGACTGGTAAAACTCGAACAGACCGTTGAGGACTCGGCCGTCTGGCGGGTGATAGACCGATATGAGCAGCAACTTCTGTCGATCCAGATGCAGCTCGAAAGCCAAAAACTGGACATCATTTATGTGCTTGACTTCGGGCGAGTAAAGTATTGTGAATTTTATTGTTTCGAGCACATAACATGCCACGCCACCACCCTGCCTCCACTGACGATTTTCGGTCAGTCCAGGCAGACCTTGATCAGTGCGCAACAAAGAGTAGCCAGGTATCGCCACGCTCCGGTCGTCAATGGACGGCGTGAGCCAGAACTCAGACAACGAGAGTACGTCGGCACTGACAGATGCAAGTTTATCGGTAACAGTCGCCATATGACCTCGAATCGAATTAACATTCATCTGCAGTATTCGCAAACACGAGCGCGCCTCCACCGACGATGATCGCAGTCGGGAAAGCTCCTCCTCGAGTCATGCGATCAGATCCAAGTCGGCCTCAGTGATTAGCTCAACGCGCTCGGCGCCACGGTTCTTGCGAGCGTAGACGCGTCCGTCATCGGACCAGACCGAGTCGTAGGCGGATCGCCTTCCTTTCTCCTTGGCCAGGCGCAGCAGCTTATAAACGGGACCGGGCAGGATCTCAAAAAGCCCAACCTCAACATGCTGCCCACCAGCACGGACATCGGAGAACATCAGCTTGCCATATCGTTGCTTAAGTCTCACAACATGATTGCGCGTGACTGGCTGCTTGAAGGTCACAATGAACGAAAAAGTGGGGATGACACTCCGGTTACCACTCCTCCGAGGCAGCGTGTCGTCGGCAAGGAAACGGCACGCCTGAACATCGTCGATGCTCCTCTCAGAGCCGATGCACGCAAGCACCTCCTGGACGACACCATGCAGAAGCTCTGGCGTGTCATGCGGTATAGACAGCGGTACTTCCTTTATTCGGACATCAGTACCAGGACGTGCGGACGTCAGGCGCCGCTTCACGTCAGCAAGTTCCAACGCCATCGCCGAGAGGCGCGCCGCCTGGTCAGACAGCGCAGCAGTGAACATATCAATTTTGGCGTTGGTCTGGCCCAGAGCAGCGGCGAGCATATCCGTTTTCATGGTGATGAGGTCGCCAACAGACGACATCAGGGTCTGAATTTGCGATACAATGGCCTCGGATTCGCTCATTATAACGACTGTCTGACAGCAGAGTTCAAAGATCAAACGATCACAACAACAATTACAATAGAGCACGAGTAAGACGTAAACACAACACAGGTCGCACACTTCAGTAGCAGTTTCGCGGTTATTTTTCGGTTTAATCGATAACTTTTTACGGGCACAGATCACAGTACCAGGTCCACCATTAACACGATCCTTGCAACGAGCACTAAATGCACAAAAAAACGTCACAATTTTTGGGCGCTATTTACGGCGTCGAGAGGCAGAATTGTCGGAGCTCGATTCAAACGCGTGTTTACACTTGAGAAGAGAGAGAGAGAGAGAGATTACCTCGGCGATCGCGCTCCTTTCATCTGGTACCCGGGATGGTTTCGGCTGGACATTTGCGGCCTTCCACTTCTTCGCCTTCAACGCCGCAACTCTCGTAGCCTGGAGCGAATGAAAATTGGCGACGATTTCGAAGCGGAAGTCGCAACAGTCCCGAACCTTGCTGAACCATGCTTGGAGCTGATGAAGACTTTTTATGGCGTCCATGCACTTGTTGTGGAAGCTTGTTCCTCGTGTCAGGGCGAGGACAAGCACCTTATTTGCTCTGGCTTGGTGGCGCTTCAGTAGCTTATCGTGCCGCAAGTAGCAGTGCGCGTAGCTTACCTTCGGAAAGCGGGCAAGTTTGTCGGCACCGTGCATGTGCCCAGCTTTCTGAAGGTAATAATTCTTTTGCTGATAAAAATTATCACTAAAAGTTTTGGCGAATTGATCGTAATCAAGGAATATGTTGTAGTCACTCGATTGGATGACGCAGCCGAAATTAACCTGCAGCAGCAGCGGCGTCTCACTTTCATTGCTGAACTCGCACCTGAGGTGCGCTAAGCCCTTCGTTGGCTCGACGAGAAGGCCGTGACGGCATCCGTAGTACACCACGTACATCAGTGTCTGGGAGTGGCTCGCGCGGAAGCGCGGCAATTGCTGGGCCACTGCCGACGCAAACTTCTGAAAGTGCTGTGACGGGATGGCATGTTGCGCGAAGCAGTGTTCCAGATCTTTCATTCTCCTGCACATCGCGGCCCTGCGGCTACGAATAAAATCATTCGGAGGAAATATGTATGGCCAAACATGTCTAGGCAAATTAGCACCTGGTGCAAAAACTGCTTGCCATGCCAAAGAGCAAAAGTTTCTCGGCACAACAAATTTATTCCCTTTAAATTTCTATTGCCAGATGCGCGTTTCTCTCATGTTCATCTAGACATCGTGACGCTGACAGAGAGTGAGGGCTTCTCTCACGCGCTCACGATGATCGACCGATACTCGAGATGGCCAGAAGCAGTTCCCATTGCAGACATGACAGCTGACACGGTGGCCAGAGCCTTCGTCGAGACTTGGGTCGTGCGCTACGGCGCCCCCAAAACGGTAACCACGGATCAAGGCAAACAATTTGAGGGCGACCTGTTCAACAATCTTGCGATTCTTCTGGGGTGTAATCATATCCGCACCACCAGCTATCATCCGCAGAGCAATGGGGTACTCGAACGCTGGCATCGAGACTTCAAAGCAGCTCTCATGTGCCAAGCGAATTCCGATGAGTGGACCCGCACCTTACCTTTCGTAATGCTGGGCTTGCGCACTCGAATTCGCTCCGATATCGACTGTAATGCTGCAGAGATGGTCTTTGGATCGACCCTCAGACTCCCTGGTGAATTCTTCTCTAGCGAAGACGAGGAACACGACAGAAGAGTCTTCACTTCTAAGTTCCGTCCCTTCATGCAGGCAATCAGACCCATTTCCGATACCGATCACGATGTTACTAGACCCTTCGTACACCCATAGCTGGCCTCGTGCTCCCATGTTTTTGTTCGTGCACAGCCAATCAAAAAAGCTCAGGATCCGCCATACTTGGGCCCATACAAGGTCGACAACCGTCTCTCGGAAACTTTTTACAACGTGCTTATCCCCAATAAGCTCGGACGTGAGGAGTCTAAAACCATCACCACGCTGACACCAGCCTTCAGCTCTTACTTTGATCACCATCAAGCACTAGACGCTGACGATGCCAACCCCGGAAATCTTATATCTGCGCGCGAGGAAACCACTAAAAAATTGAGTGACAACGACTGCAATCTCCTTGAGAACTTCGATTGTAATAACGAAATGTTACCTTTCGATAATCGCGAGAACTGTATTACGGGTGAATGTGACAGGAGTGTGCATAATTCAGCGTTGGATTGTAACGTCACATGCAAAGAAGTTGTTGTTGGCGAGTCAGGTGTGAGTGAGGAGCTCGTTGTGAACGAGTCCGATGCGAATGACCGCGGTGGCATTGTTAACCTGAATGCAGAGTGCACGAAGCGTAATAATCGTAAAAAAAGCTGCTTCAATAAAGACTGTTAATAAATGTACAAAAAATGCAGAGCGATAACGCCAAAGAAGCCTTGCCATTGATTAGCTCTAATTCAAATGTTAAATGCAACAGTATTTTAAATGTAGAAGGTAAATCGAGGCCCAATAATTCAAAGCGCGTCAAATTTCACTAAGAACATACTTATTGTAAGCAAGAGTAAACAAGCTCTGTTCGTTAAAAAAAAAAAAAAAAATTTAACACTATTTTTGTACTTAATCTAAGATCTCAACAATTTTACTCTATATTGTTTGTAGTTAATCTTATCTTTGTTAAAAATTCGCGCTTCTACTTCGCGAATTTTTCATTTCCCACCCTATAGCACTGTGGGGATTCTCCCCTTCTCCTCTCGAGCGGGAGGGGTGACGGGCTCTGCCGCTGCGCGGCGATAGCCTGAGTCTGTATGCGACACTCGAACGGCGCAGATAAGCGACTAATAAAGAGAACCTTAATTATAATCGATCCGGTGTACTCTTTATTTGATCCTGCTACTGGAACCGAGGATTGGGACCTGTACCTACGAGCATTAAGCTCCTTCTTCCCAAATATCTAAGGGGTCTTCCATTAATTACTTAAGGGTTTTTTTTGGGGGGGGNTTTTTGGGGGGGGGGGGGGGGGGCGGCAAAGTTCCTTACTCACCATGTTGTGGGATAGGAAAACCATACACATGACCACATATGATGCCATATACTTTCACTGCTAGGTGGCGACGAATCCCAGAGCACGTGTCCGCAAACGGGAGGTCCCCACCAGTGCTTAAGAGCAACACCAATCATTTATTTAAAAAAAAAAAATACTCCTCACAAACGCTAAGTACACTGATTGATCTTATCCATATTTAATATTAGCTTATTGACAAAAAGCCAGGAGTAATTTTATCCAGTTTCTGAGAAATTCTGTTTGACAAATTATTCCACGAGTCAGAACACATAAATACGGCGGTGTCATCTGATCTCGATGATCTCGCCTGGATTGATCTCTCTCGTAGGGGGGTTAATAATCGACTAATTATAAAAATTAATATAACCTAATTAAACCTTACATTTTCATAAATTAATTATAACTAGTGGCAATAATTGTTGGTAAAGCTGAGCGAACAATTTATTTTAATAACTGTGATTGAATACAATACTTATATATCAAATGATCAATTAATTTAATCAACTTACGTATATTAAATTTGTTAGAATATATTAATTCCAAATAATTATTTAATAAATTATAATATAATCAATTAATTTAAATAAATTAGTATATTTCAATCGATACGTAACAACTATACAAATGATTATTCTTTGAATTTTTCAGTTTTATCATTTTTGATTGTTCATCCTGAAAGATTTCAAACAATCTCGTTGATACAATAACTGTTGAACCTCCATCGTTGAAATGTCCTCTTCATTGTTCCTGGTCTCGATGATGTCGCAGTACCTGAAATAATAAAAATTAAAAAAAAAGATATGGACAAACATCAAATACGTTGAACAACAATACAGAGGTCACACTTCTAAAATCATGTGAGAATTTGGTCCAAAGACAAAGATGCTTATGAAAGTATCGCTTTGCAGAAGAAAAAGTAAGCGATCCATCGAATGAAATGAGTTGCTCGCGCATAGGGAGTGCACTCACGTGGAAGTTGGAGCTCTTCGATAATAATCAATATCGGCCAAACTCTCGTGGTCTTGTTTCGCAGTTTTTGCTCTCGCCTTTTTGGTTGCTGTTCGTTTGTATATGACTTTCTTTGATAACACCATTCCGTTCATTTGCCAGTGCGTACTTCAACTTTCCCTTCGCTGCTTTATTGAATTCGACCAAAGTGAATTACATTCAACCATTTGTATGTTTTCTTGCGAGTTCTGTTTATTCAACTTTTACTTAATCAAGTACTTTATTGTTAAGATGAAAAAATAATTCGCCAGCGTATGAAAAATTACAAAAAATGAAACTCGAATGTAACATTAATTGTAGAACGTTCATCAGTTCAAGAGAGTTTATAGTTATTTTATTACATAACTATAACCAACCCACATAAGGCACTTTGAACCCACGTAACATATAAAAACTTTTAAAGACGTCCTCTCTGATTCATGCCAAATGATAAACCCCGAACCCAAATGGCTCTCTTGAAATGATTTGAAATTAATGGCAAACTGTCACAATTTTCACTCGAGTAACCTGATAAAAATGTAACGAATCTCATGTTCCAGGAACTTTGATTTTGCGATAGATTGAAGATCGTCTTTATGCGTTGTATAAAACTGTTTCATGCGTTTAATACGGTATTACAATCTATGACGAATGCTTATTGGAGCATAGTGGATTTAATATTGCAACGGAGTAAAAGTATGTAGAAAATATAATTAGAATGGAACTCGAAAAGGAGCGCGCGCGTATAATGCACGATGTCAAGAAGCGCCAATACGGGCAATATAAAACTTGAATAAATGGAGTAATCAAAAGGAAAATTCTGAGCAAAGTAAGCTTATTCCTTGCGATCGAGGCATAATAAGGGAAAAAATGTTCAAATCCAGTCGTTGCATTGCTTTCGCGCCGATTAGCACAACATTAGCCGTGCATACTTTATAAAACCTGAATGCGAGCGAGCGGTCAAACGAAGCTTAAAATCGAGAAAACATGCAGAAAGCAGAGCGCAGAAGAGGCAAGCGCTTAGCCATGCAGATAATCAGCGCGCGCGCGAGAGAGAGAGAGAGAGAGAGAGAGAGAGAGAACGCGTGCATCGACGGAACGACACGATGAAAGAGAATAAAGAGCTGCGAGAGCCAACCGACGTGGGGCTAGTTAGCAAGGCGTTTCATTAGGCAGATAAGGCAATCAAGCACAAGTTTCATCTCATCCGCTCGATCTTGAATCCTACTGCAATTACTGCTACGCACACACACGCGAGCGCACATATACGAATGTACACGCACACATTGCTGTCCTATAATTGTATATCACATATCTATAAGTTCATTGTACATCCACGCACTATGGTTAGAACGAATTCGTGCCATCGGAGGATGCAGCAACTCTCGACTCTCGAGGAAGCTTGTAACGATGAGCGAAAAGATCCCAGACCTCGAGTGGTCATGAAAAATGTCCTGCGAGTTATAATAAAAGAGTTAAATGAGCACTCGAGGTATTGCACGATCTGCCCTCGGACCAAGGTGCACGGCGCGCGCGTGTGTGCAGTTTCAGCCCAATAATACGCACAATGAGCTGTTTCTCAAACTGCACGAGACGTGAGTTATTAGCCTGCATTATTCGCCGTATCAATCACCGCGGAAATAAAGTAACGCGCGCGAGGCCTGCCGCAGAACTAACTATATGTGGGAGCGCGCGCGCGACTATGATTGAAATATGAGTGATGAGTTGAAAGTTTGCGTCTGTGAAAAATGACAAAACGGATTTGCAGATTAGTCTTCAAACTCGGGCAGAAAATTATGTATACACCATTAGCATCGAGGAATATCATCGTGGGGAAAAAGAGGGTAGGCTATGGCGAGGTCAGCTCGATGCAGCAGCAACCCACAGAACGTTGAGGCTACGTAATAAAATAATAAAAAAGGTGGTAGAATGTGTTCGAATGAAAAGGGGTGATAAGCATCATTATTAAAACATCGAATGATACAAAAAGAAAAGCATTACCTTTCAAGGCGTGTTTTTATACTTTTATGCAAATAAATTTTGAAATGTAAAGGGCTCAGAACGAGGTACAAAATCCCTCGATTTAAATTTTACACGTTAAGCAGTGATCTCGACAAAAATGTACCTCAAATACAATTTTTGAGCTCTTGACACAAAAGTTTTTCAAAGACTTTGAGTTTTCCAGAATTATGCGTGAAACATTAAAGCTACAAGATGTAGCACTAGCTTATTTGAAACAATAAAATGATTTTCCATAAAATGTTATTTATGAAATATTTAGACGTATTCGCATTAGCCTCTCATTATTCATAATCTCTTATGCAAAGATTGAGTGTCGGCAAAAGGTGCGCCCGACGAAGGCAGCGGAGATATATTATGCTACATTATAAATATCTTTAAACCAATGAAGTTGATGAACCTCGATATTAACTGAAAATAAATATGAAAATAAATCCTAAAAGGATAAAAGGTAGTTAGGTAGGATCGGAAAATACATACGCGCGTATAGCTGCACATTGTCCTTCTATGCACCGAGAGCCGGGAGGACTCGACTGCGAGTAGTATATGTATGTATTTATAAGTAAAATCAGTCTGGCGCCTTTCTCGTCACTTTAGCGCTAAAGCAAGTCGCGGAACAAGTCGAGTGGCGATAAGCGCTGGCCGATCGAAGCTCCGCTTTTACGAGGCTATTTAATCAGCAAGCTGTTATTTTCCAAGTTTATCTTGTATTGAATTGGAGAGAAGAGAAGAGATGAGAGAGAGAGAAAAGAGGGAGAGAAAGAGTGAGAACCTTTCTTGACTGCAGTCGTTGGCGCGATGGAACGCAAGCAACTCAATTGCGTGCGTACGTACCTTGGCTTTCCTTACTCCTCTTCGTCCGCGAATGTATATCTATACCTGATTTGCATTCATCGAGTCTTGCATATACATACACACTTATACACACACATGCTACATCTGACACTGGGCGCTGCAGCATAATGCGTCAAATTATGCAGAGATGCGCGTAAGATGCTTCTCTTTCTCTCTTCATCTCTCTCTCTTCGGCGAGAGCCTCTCTCTCTCTCTCTCTCTATATACTTCAACCCAACTGCACGCATTCTATCTCATAAGCGGATTTCATGTTGCTGATATAATTTTTATAGCTATCAGCTGCCGTCGCCGTCTTGCCGTTGTGTTACTGCTCAGCCTATGTGCGTGTGCGCACGTGAATGCGCACATTTTTCCGCGCTTGCCTTGTTTTAGCTTTGCTCAAGTTTTATATGTAACCTCGCGATCGTGTGCGCACTCGTTGCATGGCACATAGGACGTGTCGAGCGAGCGCAGGCAAGGTGTGTGTTCATGC